TCGTTTTAGACGTTTTTGTCATTTTTAACCACACTGAACAAACCACATCATAACAACACAGTTTCACAACCTTCTCACAAACACCCTGTGCCCCAGCAATGGAAAGGTCACATTATTTATTCCAATTAAACCCCTCTCTGCTTCATTTTAGATGATATATGCATTGCACTCAAATACTATGACAGATTTATTAGGATTTCATTAATACACTTGACAAAAACACAACATAAAACGAGTCATTGGATGAAATGTACCGCCTAAACATGTATAAAACCATGTATACTGGAAAACACACTGATGTAAGCAATACTGATCATGAATATTTTCTTCTTTCAAGTGCCAGTCATTGTGAACATGCATGCAAAATGACTTGTGCTAAGAATAGCGAGAGAACAGTGTGCAAAATGACCATTATTTACTAATGAGGTCATTGCTTTTTCTGACTTTGGTGCAATGAGACATGACTGAATGTGGAGAGAAGTTTTAGTTACACAGCTCTGAGGGCAGCGAGCCTCGGGGGGATTGAGAGAAGGACGCTCCACCGGCTTTGGTTTCTCTTAAGTGGGAGGAAGCTGGCGAATCTAAAATGGGAAAAAGCAAATAAATGTTTAAACTGTACGCAGAAATGTTATCCCGGCGTGGAAAACAGTGCCGAGGTTTCCTTAAACAGAAATGACTTAATCGGAAGCTGGATAGTCCAGTAAACACCTGCAGAAATTCAGTTTAAAGAGGACAAAGGACGTCCGACAGCAAACACCGGATTATCTGGACAGCCCCAGATGAAGATGCTGTTTCCTGGTCCAGATCGGAGAGATGGGCGGTTTCCCATGGCTGCAGGGTCAGCTCTGTTGTGAAACATGAGAGAGAAGATTAGACTTAACCCAAAACTACAGTTTAAACTGGATTCAGTTATTGTTTGATCCAATAGAATTTGGCACACTTTACGGCTCTGCTGTTTTTAACACGTTTTATTTACAACACAGTAAAACTCGATATATTCAAGTGGAATAAGATTTTTTTTTAAAGGAAATTTAATCAAGGAGCATTTGTTCAACTAATCAGAGGCTTATTTGAGGACTTTGGACTCTTTGGCTAAAACTATAAACTTTCCTTTATTATAACAGTGGTGTGATGAATAATGTAGGGAGATCCTCACAACCATTACCCTTTAATAACAACGTACGATTTTCAAAGAGAAATTGACAGGTGTGTGGTAAAATTGGAATTCTATGGGCAGGTTTACACTGTGATGAACAGATGGAGATCATGTGTTACAGCTCATTTCTCCCGTGTGTGTGGAAAGTGGGAGAGGTGAAGCTCTTTAGTCTGTTGAGGGAAAGCAGTCAAAACAGGTCTTATGTGTCACAAAATAATTGAGATTGTTGATTAGAATTGGAGATTGGCCAAAATTCGAATGATTCAATAAGGAGGAATTGTTATAAGTTAGAGCTAATATTTAAACTTAACGCCATAAAAGCAAAATAGGACTTTTTACTGTTCTGAAGTGAAACTGAAAAGTGTTACAATATCAGTGGGGAGTGAGGAGCTGACAAGATTTACACAGCAATTTATTAATACTCATCAATGGTTTAATACTCACCTCCAGATCGTCTCTTTTACTCCAGATACTTACTGAGGGAGAGACGGTCCTGCTGTCATGTGGGATCTCTGCATTCAACACAAGGTGGCAGAAAGTCCATTCTCAGGAACTCTCCTCCCTCCCTCTCACAAAAACGCTTAAGGTGTCGGTTAGAATTCACTGTAAACAAACTGGAATTCCTTTCCACAAACATATAAATGTGATTCCACTGAAAACTGAAATTTACACGATTGAAGTGGGTGTTTGCATCTGCATGGATCGTTTTGAAGTCTCTCATTGGATAATTTTGGGGATCCCACACGTCGTGTGTGTCGAACTGTTCGAAAAGCTGTGGCTGGTCAGCCGAGTGTTTTGACTCAATGGGATGACCGGTCCACTTTTGGAACATTTTTGGCTGTTTTAAAGTATTTCCGGTAACTGAATTGCTCGTTTCTGTGTCTGTAACACATCAACATTTTTCTGCATTCCCACCAGGTGGTGCATGCAGCCCACCGTGCTCATTGGCTCCCCTGGAGTGGATCAAGTGTCCAGATTGGGAGGGCTGTAGCTGTTCTTTGCCTCTTCCTGCTCATTCTAAAATATCTCCACCTAAAGATTTCAAACTTGGACATCTTTAAACTTTTCCCCCCCAAGACACACACTGTGACGACAACCACCACAGAGACAGAAGATTAATGTCATATCTCAGTTGTTTAAATTCAGTGCGAATACGCAACGTGGAAACGAGATAAAGTTGTTAACACAACTGCTTATTCCATTTTGTGCAAAAGTATCATCCATCAAAGCGATGGCGGGATGTGGGGCTTTATCAAAGTCACCGTGGCAGCCACAGGAGTGTTTGTCATGGATTCTGTCGCCTGGAGATTAGCTCATAAAACACTGGATGGAGCTTTATCAAGACAAGATGGATGTTGTTGAAACTGAGAAGAATTGCTGTCAGGGGGCAGTAAAAGATGAGATTCCTGGATCTTCCTGCGGTATTTGTTCCTGAAGCTGATTTATGGCCTCACTGAAGTCTCACCAGAGTTCAATCGCAACATGGAAATGTATTAAATAGTGCAGCTCATCACAATGTGGGAGAAGAAAAACCGCTAAATGAAACAGCATGGAACCTTTTCTCTGATCGAAAAGCAAAAGCATGTTTGCAATGAGCTCCAGAAACTCCACTTCTGCAAATGAGCACAGCTTTCTACCACGCGAGCGTGTTTCTGTGCCATACACACAGAGATGAGTTAAGCAGGGTTATCCAACCTGGCCTTTCAGCTGGACCTCTGTCTCTTCTGGGTCAGAAAAATATCAGAGGCACATCATCTCTGTCTTCTTATTTTACTCGGGACGCAGATGCACAACACCAAACAAGCTGTGTGATGGAAATAGATGCTCCTCCTATGTGCCATAGTGTGCTTTTTCTTACATCACAGACCAAACAACACAAAAATTATGACCACGCCATAACATTCTTAAAACAGTGTCACAGCCCTGTGTTTTTTGGGTGTATGCTATCAAAGTAACTTAATTTTCACTGATGCTGTCCGTCCAGGTTCTGGCTGTTTCAGGCTCCTTTGCACCATTTTCTTCTTTTCTTTTCGGCTCAAAGACGTCAACGAGACTTTCAGCCACGTGATCTGCATGTGTAGAGAAACTGGTGCAATTTGATTATTTAAAAAGGAAATAAATAGCCTGATCTCCATTGTTTATGCTGCAAAAGAAAAGCAGCCTCTTGTCTCTTAAGATGAAGCTAAAAGGCTTTAATGGGAACCGCGTGGTAATATATATAATCTATCATTTACATTATATCCAAATATAAGGACCCTACATTGATCGGTCCAAGTTCAGCAACATTTATATGAAACATATTCATATTATGTCACAGTTTCCTCTTTATAAAACGCCAGATTATGCTTCCTGTGAGCATTTTCCAGCCTGAAACAACGTTCCACAAATAGAACACACATGTGGAGTCAGAACCCTCCTGCTTTAAGGTGCAGTGGCTGTGTTTTGCTCCCTGTGCTGAGCTGAACGCTGCCGGGCTGAAATCCTCTGCTGCGTGGGCCGTTGTAAACATGTTTTTCCTCCGCTTGTTCTTTGTGCGAGAGGGCTGCAGGTGAGATGCAGGTGTCCAGATGGTGGACAGAGTCCACCCGTTATGACCCTCAGCCGGTGCTGTGACCCTCAACACAGTCAGAGGAGAGAAAAGGCTTTTCTCCGCTGATCCAAAGTGTCTGCAGTCCATTTGGTGCTGGAGGAATGTTGCTGACAGAGGGGCTGAACTTCCCACATGTGGATACTCTCTGAATGGAGGAGTATTGGAGAATGTTGAAAAGTTCATTATGCAGATTTACGGACTTTACATCGTAATCTAAGACCTGTCACCTGACTCAGAGCAGCTGGGCCTAAAATCACCTAATTAGGCTCTAATTTAAACAAACTGTGACACCTGTGGCTCTAAAAAAATCTTTAGCTTCTCCAGTGGGAACTAAAAGGGAAAAACATGCTTTGTTATTGATCAGAGTAATGCAGTACAAACCAATTTGGTTTGTACTGCAGAGACTGAATCTCTTTTGGCATCTAAGCAATTTTCTGTGCTGGAGAGTGTTTATCTGGAAAGAATTTCTTAATTTATTGGCCTTAATGCGACTGATGACATCCTCACGCATCCTTAGAATGTGTCATTTTTCCGATTAATCGACTTGGTGAAAAATGACTGTCATTCCTTCTGGGAGTTTTTGTTTGATTTTCAGAATTTATGGCTACTGGTGCTTCTTTGTTCAAACCCATTTCATTAGAAATCTATTTAAATGGGAAAGTTATATGGAACAATGAACACCAGTCAATTTATGGAATGTGTTTTTGAGCTTTTGCAACCGTTTTTTATTGGTTTATGAGCTAAATACCTGCATTTAATCATTCAGACAGATGTGTCCAGACCTATTTTTGTGGCCCGGTGAGTGCAGGACGAGGAACCGTGTTTTTACTGTCTTAAAAAAAGCGGGGGGCTGCCTCGTCAGCTGATTGGCCGGATATGTGTGTGTGTCGGTGCGAGGGTAACACCTGCTGTTATTCTAACACTCTGCTAATTGAGGTAGCCGGGAGGGTGCCAGATATGGATTACAGCCTCCAAATACGCGCTACTACGTCTGTATTAAGGAAAAAATAAGTCTTTTCCTGCATGGCAGGCCAAGGCCACGGGGACTCAAGGTGCTCACCCCACAATGTTCAAACATTTGTTAGCAATTAGCCTCAGCCAAGAAACCCAGTTTCAACACACGGACCCTCCCTGCTTCTCTCCCCCTCCCTTTACTTTTTTTAAAATTGTTTTTATCCTGTCCCTTTTCAGTCCCTCCCTCATTTTCCCCCTGTTTTTGTTTCCCTCCCATATCTCTGCCTTTTACTGTCTCTCTTTCTCTTTAACCACTCTTCTTCCCTCGTTTTTCCCTCCTCCAACATTTCTCCCTCCCTCCCTTTGAGACGTTTCTCATGGTTTCTGTGTGAGGAGCTTTAGCTTTCTCAGGCTGTGCACGAGAGAGGGAGGATGCCAGAGACTTGTTCTCTAATGCACATGTTCAAAACATAGAGAATTTTTTTTAATACTCAGAATTCTTATAAATTCAACATCCGACACAAACTTCTTATCCAATCTTTTTTTTTCCAATTGCAGAGGTGATCTTAGTATTTTGGATGAGGGTGAGGTTTGCTCTCTGCTTGCTTTGCATCCCTTTCTGACTTGTGGAGGTACGACTCTGGGCTTGTCTTCTTCCTGTGGAGATTTGGGGGCAGCTGGAACACAAATGAGTGCTTTTGCTTTTTGGGAAAAACGGTGAAGAGGACAGCAGTCTGCAGGAACCGGGACAGGCGTCTGCACAGAGGTTTCCAGAGTCAGCAGCCATGAAAGGTAAACCAAAAAAAAAAAACGACTCAATGGCAAATCCATCCAATCAAAAATGGCTTATTGTTGTTGTGCTGACGAAAAATTAATGCCTGCATGCATTTTCCAGAGTGAAAAACAAAGAGAAATGTGAACCGGAACAGTCTTTCTCGGGGTCATGCGGTTCTGCACCTGCATGGGTCGAGCGCATATGCTCCTCATCAGCTCTCAAACTTGGCAGCGAGGATCGCAAGAAAGTGTGCGGTTGTTGTTGTTGGACGCCCAACTTTGTTCAGTCAGCCTTAAAACTCCCTACATGCGCACCGCAGAAAGGTTTCGTTGAACATAAAATCGGCCCCCGGCCACTGCCAATCTCCCACAGACCGACTTAATATTCCCCCTAAAAAGGAGGCGAGGGAAAACTTCAGAGCTGGGTTTGAGAGTTTTCACAACACGCCACGAAGGGACAGCTGCCAGCAGCTTTGAAGAGGGCAGGGGCTCTTTCACGCTTCCTGGGCTTTCGGGACGAGAAATGAAAGCTGACGGCGCTGGGAGGATAAAGTGGGATGGAGCGGATAAGAGAGTGAGAACAAATGTGGGCTGGAAGAAATCATCCAAAAGGCGAAAACTAGCTGGAATGTGCCGTTTTTTTCAATCTTTCTAATAAAATCATTATTAGAATTTTTAGTAGTTGTTGCATGAGTCCTAGTAAGAACAAGAGCCTTTATTGATTTTAGTTTTATCATAATTTTGGACCAATGATAATCTATTTTAAGCCAATTCATGGTGGTTTTGACCCAAATAAGTAACTTTAATACAGATGATTTTTAACTCCAAACTTTTCTAACTTTGTGGTTTCAGTCTATTCCATGACAAAATTGTCTGTTGACGTCTAAATTTGTGTTTTACTTTTCAAATCTCACCGCTCTCCTTCTAAAAACTGGACATGTAGAGTCACATATGAGAAAACTCATCCAAACATTAGAATTTTGCAGCTGAAAAACGTTTTCATGGGTGTTTTTGTTGTTGTTTGCATTTAGTTTTGTGGATTTAAAAAGAAATGGAAGTGATGCAATTGAAACAGTTTACAATCAAAGGACGTGACTCATGTTATGTAAGAGAGCTGAGGTCAGCTCACCAGTAGAAATACACAGATGTTTAGCAAAGCTAAACATCTTACGTGCGCGTCGCACTGGAACCGCAAATGAACTCACTTAAGAATATGTATAAATACCTTCTCAGCCAAATGCTGCAGGGGCTCTGAAAGGTGGTTTCCAGTCTAACCCAACCAGAACAAAACATGCTGCCTCATACATTCCTAACTGGGCTCCAGAGGAGTGGGAGTAATGAGGGTCCGGGGGTGGGGGGTGAATGGGGGGGGGCAGGCAGGTGTATAGCTGGCAAGAAGAAAAGGAAAGGCTGAGCAGAGAGAACTTTGCCACAGTGGACTACTTTTCATGGATTTTGGTTTGGATTTTGGTAGCTTTATTTATTCATCATTTTTTCCCATAACATAAACACTTTAGACAATCTTTACTCAATGTTACACAACCGGAAATCTGAGGCAAACCAGCATTTCCTTGGGATTCACAATCTCCGGTTTAAAGGTGGCACTGTCGAACTTCTTGGTTTGGTTCATGGATGAAACTCTGATGGTTAGGTTGAGGAAGAGAATGTGTCTTTGGATGCTGTTCTAAGGCATTTCAATTATATTGGATTCCAGATTCATGACAGATTTAAAAAGGTATGACCTGTCTAATTATATCCAGAATTTCGTTTCTGATTTTGATTTATTTATCGGGGTGTTAGGTTTCTGAATTGGATATTTGTTGACATTCATTATAGTTTTCAATCCAGCGCAAATTCGTATAATCTCTGAAATGGTGATCGCCGGATTGAATTGGAAGGCAACGACATTCCTGCTAATAAAACAATGAAGAAAACTGGCCTCCCAGCTTTGTGGACCTCACCGGGCTCGTCTGTGTCTCCCCCGTGCTGTCCAAAGCAGTTTGGCCAACATGGAGCCTTTACGGGCAGCGAGTCCACAGATCTCCCCAATGAGAGGCTAACCACAACAAAAGATCTTTCTCTGGGAATTGCTCTCCGACTGTTTTGCAGACTCCGGCAACACATTCCAGGCGTCCAAAGTTTCGTAAAGGGACCACACATTCCTCTCGAAGGGTACCCAAATGGCTGCGAGTTCAAAGAGGGTTCGGAGGGTAGCTCGTTTGGCTTTACGAGTTGTGGTCAAGATCTCCGCTCTGATCTTGGGGTTGGTCCTCCTCCTGACTCTTGATGCTTTCAATGTACATTTTCCCATCAAAATAATTAACCCACAAAGGAAAAAGGCCATCTTAAAAGCAAAAGTCTCTATAAATCTTTATGTAGAGTCATCTCTATTGGCCAGCTTCATCACATCGTGGAGTGAGTGATGTGGGGAGCCAGGGGCCAGTTAATCACAGGGGTAACATTTTAGGGGTGGGATGTACTGTCGAAATTAGTCCAGAGGGCGGGAAAAAGGGCCTGGAAAGTCTGAGACCCCCGGAAAGAAACCGCAGCAGAGGAACCACAAACATTGGGGGCATTGCTGATGGCTAACAGACTCAGAGCTGCATTCCCAAACCCCAAAGGGCTGATGGTGGGAGGTGGAGACTCGGTGCGGGCGAAAACTAACATCATCGTGTTTGGAAGTTTACCATCGATACCTGTTTTCACCTGTTAATGTGGGGGAAAATGACGGATGTTCGTTGGAGTTACTTCAGCAGAGTTCCAGACTGACTTTATCCACTTTGTTCACACGTCTTTAATGCCCTGTTTTACAAAAGTTTCCATCTTGTCACCTTCCATATCCATTGCCAGTTCTATAAATACTTGCAAACATGAATTAAGCGGCAAGACTTTTTTAAAAATCACAGTTTGTATTAACGTCGATTTGGAGGACTGTACTTCAGTACAAATTTGTCTTTAGACGATGTTTTCTTAGACATAAAAACAGAAATTTAGTGCATCTTCTTGGTGCAATACATAATACTTGAAAATCGATTCTTAAAGAGAATGACTAGCATAGGTTTCTGCCCCCTGACGGCCCTGACTTGGAATAAGATGTGTATGTGTATCAAATGTGTTCATAGTCTATACCTCTCATTAGGGTCTTGGGGGGGCTGGAGCCTGTTCCAGCTGTTATTTGGCATCACAGGGCCACACAGAGACAAACAACCACACACTCACACTCACTCCTACGTGCAACAGTCACCAATTAACCTGACATGCATGTTTTGGGGTGTGGGAGGAAGTACATTCCGGCAGTCTGTTGGTATGATTTGCAGAAAAATGTGGGCTCAGCAAATAATGCAAATCTATGTTTTTTTTTCTTTGAGCTTTCCCTCAAACGGCACTTTAGCGCAACATATTTTCTGTTTCTTCTCTCAGCCCAGTGTACAGTGCTGAGTATTCAAACTAAAACCAACCTTTCCATCCTCAGTCTGGATAAACACTCCTGAGTCACGTCTGGTTCGGTGGAATCATTATGCAATAATAAATAGTCCACTTCTAGTGATTTAACAGGTTTTCCATGACAAAGCCAACCAGGGTTTTATTTATTGATGTATGAAATTGCCCGGTGCGTGTCGCTTTGAACCGTCAGGGCTCCCGCTGTTGCTGTCAGTCTGTAAATGTGACCTTACGGAACAAAATGTGGATCAAAGTTTAAACACCATTTGTTTAATGTAAGAATCTCTCAGAAAACGGAAGGAAGGCAAGGAGGGAGAAATAACCACCGAGTCGTGGATATTCGAGGGTGGAGACTGATGATATTTTAGATTTCAGCCTTCAATAACAAATGATGTGCTGACATTTGAACATTTCAATGAGGCCTATTTTATACCGCAAAGCCTTTAAATATGAGAGGAATGCCCCTTTAGCCCCAGATATGTTTTTTAATGAGGGTGGGAAATTCTTTGAAACACAATTCGGGCTAGTTTGGGCCTGAAAGAGTTTCAATAAAACCCAGAATAATGAGGCGTGGGATGTTGCAGCTTCTAAACAAAGAGCCGAAAGATGATAAAAACACTATTTAGAGTTGAGGATTGAGCTCGTAAAACTCCACCACGGCCCCTTTCAGTCTCTGCATGTATTTTGGACAGTTGCCCATTTCACGCGGAATAATTTATATAAACTCAACAAGTTTGTTGTAGAAAGGCGAAAATGGGAATGGGACATTTGGATGAAGTCGTTTGATCTTTGCTGAGTACTCTGAGTATGTTCCATTTTTGTTCTTTCTGTTTAATAATGGTGAAATATTGAACTTTTAACCAATGGTAAACGCATGAGGGGTGATGTTTTTCATAGAATAGCACCATTTATCTGAAGGACATTCAGACCATCCGTGATGTGAGATCATCAAATGGTTCAAAATTCCCCAAAATCTGTTCACTAAATGCAACGGCACACAGTTCAGAATCCAAAGCTTAACATTAACATTAGACACTTCTTTCTCTTTCTCCCTCTCCATCTGTTCCCCCCTCCCTCCCTCCTCCTGTCACCATTATGTAAGCTGTGGTGTTTGGTGACTGGTCCACCCAGACCTGACCTCAGCTGTTCCACCTCTGGCTTGTGTAAACACTCCCCTCTCTCCTCTGTTAGCAAGTACACAATCAAAACTTCCTTTATTATTTGTCTCAGAAACCACTGCTCTGAGTATGAGCTGAGCAGGCCGAAAAGTGGGCTTACAAAGTCTACCGTCTACCTATAGAAACCCGACTGGGTGTCCCATAGTCTCTTTAGCTAGGGTTTGAGACACAAGAGGGGATGGAAGCAGCTAAAATAGCCTCCATTTAGAAGAGGAGTTAGAAATGTTTCAGAATCACTTACGAGTATCTCTTCTTTTCAAGAGGATTCTTTTTTAAACTGTGTCCAAAATGGCATCCAATTGTGTTTGAGATTCGAAAAAATTCGAGTGCCGGCAGCTAGCTGGTTCTGAGAGTCTCTGCCTCTGTGAGGTGCTCCTGTGTGAGTAACGTGTTACAGTTTCCAGCTGTTTATTCTTAATTTGAACATACTTGTTCATGAAAGCCGGTTTCTGCCCTCCCAGCCCTACATTTTCAACACAGGATGGCATACAGTGGACGAGGTGTTTTATGGAATCTGACGTGGTTCCATTCAGCTTTGGAAGCATAAAGTCAAATGTTTAGTGGGACGCCTAACGCAGACTGGCGGTATTTCTGTTTACAAGACCCTCTGGTTAGATTCTGCCCAGCTTACGCTAACCTTTTCCAGAGCGCGATGAAAAACCTCCTCGAACACGTATGAAAAAAACTCCCACGAGAGGCAGGGGGGGAAAAGCACCAGCAGCTCTCATGCTTTCCTCCAGCCTGTGCAGAGAATCCGAGCAGAACAAAAACACTCATGTTCTGAGATAGCAGCCTCATGCTGCACATTCGTGCTCTGCAGAGGTGGGGGGGGGGGGCATTATGGGGCAGCTGGCTTGTGTGATTTATGGGAGAAGTAATAAAACTTCTTGGAGGCTGCAGAACAATTTGATTCCAGTCAGCGTTGTTTTTCAAATATCTGCCTTCTCTCTCTCTGTTTCACAGATAACTACGGTGGATATGAGAACCGGCTTTTCAAAGGTAATAATTTGAAAGTTCAGCTTTTTGATTGATGACAATCAGTCTGTCTTTTATCTTCAGCATTATGGTCGGGACTAATTTACCCATGAGAACGAGATTAGTCCATCTGAGACAAAGGAAAAGAGTCTTGGGCGCGTCAGGAGTCCCTTTAAGTGCAAAACGGTTATGTTTTTTTCTAAGGCATAAAAAAGAAAAGTTTGCTTGGGAGGAACTTGACTTTCTGGCAATAGAACGAGCTGTGGCCACCAACTGATTACAAACTGATTAATCCCCATTACCACAGACTCTACAAGCAGTGATATTTATGAGAAACGCATCAGTTCTGCTTTACGATGCCAAGAAGACAGAAAGCGAAACAATTTACGTCAGACTATGAAATGCTGCTCATGCAAGCAGATGGAAATCCATAATCACTCCTCGTGTGTAATGTGAGAAATATACTTGATGGTTCTGTAGCAGAGCAGAATGGCAGGACAGTGTAATGGCTGGTTTTTAAGGCAGCTGTTTCCACTTTCTGTTGTCCCTCAGACGAGGACTTCACTGGAGAGGAGGACGAGATGCCCTCCTTTAGAGGTGAGCTCCACTCAAAGCTCTGAACCTTCTGCTCCACAACGTAAACTGATAAAAACTCAGATGACTTCTCTTCCTGGTTTAGGAAATTGTAGGATATGTTCATATCTAATTACTCTCACATGAATCCTTAAAAGTAGCAAAATGACCACTTTTTCAGCACCAGGTCTTTTTTAACGATTAAAAAATAAGGCAAATCAGAATCTGTTGCAATGCAAAACTAAACTAACTAAATAAATATATAAATAAATAGTTTCCACTCAGTAACTGCCCCTGGTTTTCAGGTCGCGGCAGAGGGGGCTGTGTCAGATGCCAGCAGAGCCAGTCTCTCCAGCTGGCTATCAAAGTCCTCTACGCATTTGTTGCTTTCCTCATCATTACCGTTGCAGTGCTGGCATCCCTCGGTGAGCCCTGTTTTCAGCTTTCAACATTCACCTCCTACCCTCCATGTATTTCCCTCTCCTTCATAGACGTAATCCTCTCTCATTGCACGCACGCCGCCACATGCAGCTTTGGGATTTTCTTTATTCGCGAACTCCCCTGAATAATGGTGAGATTTGCGTTAATGGTCAAAGTTTTCTAAGTGTTTTAATAAACCACAGTCCATTTAACTCCCATGGATGAAATGAACACGGGTCCTGGTCCTGCCTGCTGTTTTACCTGACAGCTGTGCCATGCAAACAGATGCTTTTTACATTTCCATCACTTTTTACTGAGGCTGTAAGCTGTAAATCCTCATCTTTTACTGGTGTTCAGGGGCTTTCAGAGGGGAGAGTGAGGCCTGGGAGGTGTTGCCAAATCTCACGAAACCCGCTTTTGACGACATAACATGAGTAAAGTTTAATTTTGTTTGGTGCATGCTGCTAACTGTGAGCTGGCATTTCATTTACCGATACACATACGCGGAAAACATGTAGATACTCGACATCACATCCTTTAAGTCTACTTGTTATATGATCTTTAAACTGAACACCTCTTTGAGTTGATAATAACAAACAGTGAATGTCCCAAAAGGAGACAATTCATTTCTGATTTAGAATTTCAAACTGATTGTCATCTATTAGTCTATTGACTAATAGTTCCCCAGGCTACAGTCCCCAAATCCTTTTGGGACACATTTCTGTTTGTTCTCAGTTAAAAACATGTCTTCCTTGTTATTTAAAATCCTGAATTCTTTGCTAATGAATTAATCACCAATTCTAAATAACCGCAGTAGAGCTCAAGCAGTACAAAATGGCAGCTACAGCCTCTAAGCTTTGCTAAAAATGAAAAAAAAAGACCAACTAACATTTACAACAACTTCTCCTTCAAAAACCTGCTGCTCAGCACATCCTGAATGAGTTTTAAAAAAAAATCTGAAAAGGAAGGGGCCGTTATTATACAAACAAAGGCCATTAGCCAAGTTCATCATCACTGTCACAGCAGCTAATCGGGTGGAGCAGATGGTATGTGCAGAACATGTGGAAGCATTTACATGTTTGCAGACAAACTACGGCAGAGACCTTCCCCGGTCTCCTGGGTCAGAGCTTATTCAGCTGACAAAGGCTGGAAACACACACCACACAAGCTTGCGTGCGCACAAATGTAAACTTGTACACACGAAGCTCTCAAACTCATTAAAATAGTTGTTGCTCTCTTGGGAAGAGAGCAGCGGGACCTGACGGCTGGTTAAACCGTCATTCATCAGTCTCTGTTTTTTTTTTTTTTTTTCTAAACTAATGATAACTGAACGTGTTTTGTCATCAGGGCTTAAATTACAACTTCATTTTCTTTTAAAAACCTCCCAATTCTTGTTAACAGCACAGTGAGGCAGATTTTAATCATTTAAAAAACCTCACGGCAGCTTTCTGGGCCGTACCGCGCTGTTTTTCCCCCAGCAGAGCACAGCTGGGTGCGATTGCTCCTTTTGATCACTGAAATATATGTTAATAAAACGTGATTTCGTGAACCTAAAGGATTTTCTCTAACCTGAACTATTTTGTGTCATCAGTGTTCAAAAAGGTTGACAACTTGTCTGAGGAGGAAGCAGTCTACCATATGAAGATCACCAAAGTTCAGCAGGGAATAGAAGGTAAAAGTAACCCGAATACACCTTTTTTTCCTTATTCAGACTAAAGCTGTCTTCTTAGGGAAGCTGAATTTCAACACGGAACAATAAGGTGACATTTCTTCTCAAAATACTGAGAATTGAGACTATATTTGACTGCAGTGCTCTTCTTTGCTACAGTTCTGGTGGGGCTTTAGTTTGACTTTTCTCTAAAGCTTTTTTCTTTTGTTCAGAACAGATGCAGGGTAGATGTGTTTGGCATGTAGGACAAATTTCAGATCCATGCATATTTCACCACATTACACGCTCATGTTGCAGCAGTAACTCCATGTGAACGGTTACTCTGGAGAAATCTAAAAATATGAGATTTGTGTCGTTTGGGGCCCCATAACCTTCAGCAGCATCATTTTTTGGATCTGTCTGACACAAATCCAGCCAAGTTTCAGCATCTATTGCTTATGACTCAGTCCAGATCAGTCAAAACTCTGCAGACATCACTTTTTTCCCCAAATATGACTTCATGCAGCTTTTTGATTGACACTTTGACAAGAAAGATAATTTCTGCCTGGAAAGGGACTCCACCCATTTTCACAACAAGCCAGAATACAGTAAAGAGGTGAAATGTGCCACTTAGCATCAGAAAAAGATGTCTGAAGTCATTTTGATATGTTTAGTCACCTTTTGTACTTTAAACCACTTTATACTCACTTTGTTGTTTTTCTATTTTGGTTGGTTTCACAGCCAGATTCACTCGCCTCCGGGCCATATTTAGAACCTCAAACTACAAGGTTTGCTTTAAGACGGTATTTAAATCTTTTTTCACCTGTTGCCTTGGAAACTGAAGCTGAAGTCCGTCTCATCTGTGGCGATTTGGGACACCAATAGTCTCTGGTAAAAGTTTAGTGTGTGGCGCCGTCTGAGTGACAACAAGCTGTCCGATAGCGCTGTAGCTTCTTTTACGGCTTCGTTTCAGCACCTGTTTCCTGTTAAAAAAAAAAAAAAAAACACACTCATGTGAGTAAAATGTGGTTGGAAGTATACACAAGTCTAAATGATATGTTTCACTCAAGCTTATGAACCATGGGGAGGAAAATCTATTAAAAAGAAGTTTTTTTTTTTTCTCACCATCATACCTCGGGAATACCTGTTTGGAATCATTACATTTGGTTCTCTAAGAAAGTGGAGAGGAAATCTGATGTATTTTACTGTCACAAAAAGGCACACATGGTTCTAATGATCTTTATCGCGAACCCTCAGCTGAAACAGTCTCCTTCCCCACCCCCACACCTCATTTTCTTTCTTTATTTCTCAGATCTGAGGTCTGAATCCAACAGCTCCGGCTGCCTGGATGTCACGCTTTACAGTGAGGAGATCAGGAGGCTGAAGAAGGAGTTTGAAGACATGCAAAAAATGTTACTGGGACAGGAGCAGGTATGATATAGTTTTAAAACGAAGGGGAAGACATTTCCGGAGGAGATAGGTTTTGTTTTTATTTGATTAACAATCGAAAATACAAATATGCTCTATTTTTATTTTTTTAGAAATGACAGAGAAGAGAATTTATAATTTTTCCTCCTTGTCACACCCCTCTGCAGGTCCTGGATCAGACCTCCCAAACACAGGCCACCATAAAGTCAACCAGCAACCGTCTGACCAGGGAAGTCCAAAACCACCTGATGTCAATCCGACTTCTCAACCAGTCCCTGGAGAGGTTCCTGGATAGGGTGGACGGTTGGAAGGAGGTGATTGAGGAGACGGAGGAGAAGATGGAAACGCTGACAGAGGATCAGTACGACATCAAAGCAACAGCGCAGCAAGTCAACACAACAGTGGCCCTCAGGTATGGATCAACAGGATCAACGGGATCTGGTCGGGTTATAGCCCGAGCATCCCCCTGAGGAGTGCTCGGCGCTCTCTCTCTGCCTTTCAGCACGATGTGGATAGATGCTCTGCAGAAGAAGGCAGACGAGGAGACGCTGGTCCTCCAGAAGCTGACCAGCGACTGGCAGAACTACAGCCGAGTCCTGAGCGCCATCAAGTCCAACACCAGCAGCACCTCGCAGACCGTGCGCTTCCTGCAGAGCAGCATTATGATGGACCAGCAGAGGATCGCCATGTCCACTGAGATCTTTTACGATCTGACGCAGCAGGTCAGAACAGGACCACACACACTTAAGTATTCAGGAATCAGTGATTTGATAGAAAAAAATAAAAGGGTTACTTCATTGATTTCTTGCAAAAAAAGTGCCATCAAAGAGCTGATAATGTTAATTACTTGTATCCATTTGCAGTTATGAGTGTCTCCGTTACTTTTGTATTAAAACGCAGTTTAAGGTAGACTTTTAAAGTTTTTTTTGTAGCTTGAGCACAGGTTTAGACTCTGAATTGCTCATCAGCTCAGTTCTGTTTGGTACCCCAAAAAACCAAACCCCCAAAAAATCTGAAAAAAATAACGATGCATCTTTAAGTGTCTTCTGGCCCAGCTGTGCGGTCGAGTCTGAGATAAAGCGGAACTGGGGGTGCTCAGAAGGCCAGAAACACAGCAGTGAGTCTTTGTGTTTCCTGCAGGTTTTGAACCTTCAGATGCAGCTGGACAATGTGACGTCTTTCATGGATGAACACGAAGAGAATATGCATGACCTTCACTACCATTCCAGGTAACATAGGGCGTCTAATCTGAGAACATTTTCTATCATTTCCCAAAGGTGTATTATCTTGAATCTCCTTAAATACACACGTTTACATCTAACTCTACTCATAAGTCATTGTCCTTAGGCTGACACAAATGGGCCATAAGTGGTGAATATGTAGTTACCCATGGTGATGTGAGTTGGCCAATTTCCCTTTGACAAAGAGATCTGTCCAAGAGTCTGATCCATCTGTGTAAATCTCACCTGTCGTCTCCAGATATTACGAGAACCGGACCGGTGAGCGTTTCTCTGCTCTGGACAGTCGTCTGAACTCGATCCAGATGGAGATTGACACCGTCTCCTCCAGCATCAACGCCACCGTCAACCACGTCCAGAGCATGTACAAGTACATCAGGATTGAGAGCTCGTCCTGCCAGAGCCGCCTGGGCAGACACACGGAGGATCTACAGGTGGAGAAGAAACGAGCATGAATATTCAGTGTTTGAAGTGTTTCTTCTTTGGAGGACGGTGTCAGATCTAGGACACCGTCTCCAAACATATCAACTATAGGAGGCATGAATTACAGCTCAGGTCTTTGATTAGTGACATTTAAAAAAAAATGTTTCAATTTCATAAGCAGCGATTCCAGGCTAGTTTTAGATTTAAAAACATGTTTAAAACGATGTTTTACCAGGTGACTCTCCCTGACTTCCCCTCAGTTTGTGGTCTTCTGGCATTCTTTGACCTCTTTGCTGTCTTCTATGCAGAACATCAACAACACAGTGCTGTTACTGCTTCACCTGGCTGACACGCTGAGACAGCAGAACATGCTGCTGAATGTCCGTCTTGATATGGATGTGAGGAACTTGTCCATGGTGATGGAGGAGATGAAGCTGGTGGACGTTGCTCACACGCAGATCATAAAGAACTTCACCATTCTGAGAGGTACGGAAAATTAAGTCTTCCATGAAATGAAAACAGAATATTGTTTATCCACTTTTTAAAAAATCCTTTAGTATTTAAATTTCTTTATTTTTTACGAAAGGTGCTCCTGGAAAACCTGGGCCGAAGGGGAACCGTGGTGAGACTGGCCCAAAAGGACCTCAGGGCCTGTCAGGCAGCAAAGGGGAGAGGGGCCCGATAGGGGGCCGTGGACCTGCTGGGGAAAAGGGATTTCCTGGCCCAAAAGGAGCACCAGGGGAACTTGGCCCTGGGGGCAACAAAGGGCCTCCAGGTCTAAAAGGAGCAAAGGGTACCATTGGTCAGGCAGGCCCGAAAGGTGAAAGGGGCCAGAAAGGTGACATGGGCCTCTCTGGTAAGGCTGGTGCTCCAGGACCCACAGGGCCCTCGGGGATACAGGGTCAGACAGGACTACCTGGGATAGTTGGGCCACCAGGGCCGAGGGGAAAACCAGGACCAGCGGGGCCACCTGGACCTCCAGGCACCCCCGGACCTCCCGGTTTGCCGTACACACACGACCGCACCAACGTCTCAGAGCAGCGGACTGTGACGCCTGCTGTTGGGTCCAAAAGAAATTAAAGGACTCTTGGAATCTTTGGTAAAAAGGAACGCAACGAATTCCGATAAGATCTGACACGAAAGAGAGAAGATCAGTCACTGTGACTGGAGACAAACGCATCCATTTCCATGGGACTGTACAAAGGAAATGAGAGCTTCTTAAACAAAGTCTGAGACGTTCCCTGGATGAAAGATGCAGTTGCACCAGACCAAACAACCGAGACGACAAACTGAGCTGTTGAGAGATGAGAGCTGGACTTTGTAAGGTGGTCTTCATACCTCTCATGTAGGGTCCCGCTCACCAAGGAGCTGAGGTGCATATGACAGCTATAAAGAGCTTTTTCTGAACTGTTGAATGTACTGAAAGCAGGAATACCTTTAAAAGGTAAACTGACCAAGACCTTCGGTTCATCATAAACAAGAGAGCTGTGAACCACATATTTGGACTTAGTAGTTGTTTTTCACATCAAATGCGGCGTCCAATGAGAGACTCAGCAAACACCGAAAGTTACCCAATGCTTAGCAATATGTTACTGAGACACCCAGGTCCAGTGGGGGGCACTTTATTTGTTCTTGAAGCAGAAAAAAATGGAATCATTTCTCAGAGCAGGAACTCTGAAGACGTTTTAATCGATTGGATCTGTGTTCGAATTGCAGCTGCAGACCAAAGTTGTGCTCCGGATGAGTTTTTTAAACGGTATATTCAAGCTGATGGTAAAGCATGTGATGGTGACTTATTAATGATCTAAAATCCATTGGAAGTGAGCTACGGAAATTCTATTGAGATCAAGCTATAATAATGGAATACAATTAAAGACATAAGTGGGTCTAAAATTGTACATTTGTAAAAATGTAATGAAAACACCAACATTATGATAACAGTTAATCGTTTTTCTTTTTCCACAGTGATTATTTTGATGAGTTGGGGCCATGTTAAGCACAAATAATCAAGTATAACTCACAATAAAAGAGTAAAACTAATGTTTTACACTGCTGTGATTGTAATGAAATGCAACTGGTTTGCGTTGAACTTCAATAAAGGCTTTTTTTTTTTTACACGCTCTCTGTTTTTATCAGTTTCCGACTGTACCTCCTCAGCTCTGCGCTGTTGTTGCCCTGAGAGAGAAAGGGAGTGTTTTGTCATTAATTCGGAACACATGCTGACCTCTGACCTTTCATTCTACTGTGTGTATTTGGCCTGCCCTTGCTCTGACTCTCTGTAGGAGCTCCACCAAATGCGTGTCCCATAACTGACATCTTCTCGTTTCCGTAGCGATTGCGTTAAAGTCACATGAGGCTAAATATTCAACGGGGTTATAAGATTTTTTTTTTTTTAATAAACCCTGAGACAAGTGGAAGCAAATGCAAAAAAAAACTAAACATGAATGTCTCCCAGAAGACAGCCCCCAAGCTTGAGCTGCATTTAATTTTTCACAGCATTTCCTTCTGCTCTTCAGAGCTGGAACCTGACGGGCCATAAGGGGATGATGAAGAAATTCGAGCTCAGACAAACCTTCCCCTAAAAAATCCCATCCCATCTCAAAGCGTCCCATGTACTTCAGGACCACTGAAAACCCTTTTTTAATATAATTTTAGGGTGCATCGCAGTTGTTTAGCAATTTTTTTGTGGTTCATAAGATCTAATAGTAAATAATGTATCTTATTCTATGATTTATTTTAGACAAAGCCCTCTTCATAATTTAATTGCTGCATCTCTCATGATCACAATTGGTGACATGTCCATTTTTTGGGATTATTGGTTGGCTTTATCTGCTTAACAAATGTAAACTGGACTAATTTAAGGGAGGATGAAGCTGTAGAATCTGTTGTTTAAGGGAAAAGAATGTGGTGAAAGAAGTCGGTTCTGTCAGTCATGCAGACCTGCAGACTGCTTTGGCTCTGGGTGGAGAAGGCAGCGACTCTCTGCTCGGGACAGTTCGGATTCCCATCAGGTATTTGCTCATGCGGGTCACATTAACCAGAAGTTTCAGCGCTCCTCAAATTACTTACTGCACAAAATGGCCTAAAGCATGACTGATGGTCGCCAAATTGAACAGCGAACAATCAAAAACAGTCCCAGGGCAATTTTCTGTGCTGATCACCATTACTTTTGATTCTTTAAGTACATTTTCTTGATTGGGCCTAAATGTTTTTCCCTGCATGAGTGTTTTTTTTTTCTTTCGCACTTCTGCTTTACCTCCTCCCCTTCACAGCAACATCTAGTGTTTCAGGTTTCAGCCAAAATCCAAAACAAATGAAATTTGCTTGAGTAATGGGGGAATGGGGGGGGTGCAGGAGGGCTGAGGCCTGTTTAAACTGGCAGGGATCCCTTCCAGTTTCAGGTCACCATTCGCACCACAATCTGCCTTTCAAGGTAAACTCGGCAGAGACGGAGGTTAACGGGGGATTTTCGGAGGAGCTGAATCATTGTTTCTCTTTCATTCGCGTTGGCTGGGCGGCTCCAGACCCCCGTAAACACATCGCGTCGCCAAAAAAACACCGCAAACATTCGTCCGGAGGAGAGCAGCTGCTGACTCGTGTTTTCATGGAGAGCCACTGTTTTGGTTTGCGCTCGGGGTTTACGCAGTGGGTTTCCAAAGCGTGTGATTAACCTGGAGGTTGTATAACCTCTTGAAAGTGCAACAGTGACTAAAGTCGGGACATGAAAATCTCCAGAGGCTTTGAAAGAAGGCATGGAGCACCTAGAACGGAGCCAGCACAAATCCTGCCTCCAGATGTTCTTTCGGGGAACATCTGAGGAATACATTTCACTTTTTTTTAACACGCGTGTATGTATTTTTATTTTCACCAAACGGGGGAAAAGCTCTCAAACGTATTTTATCCCACCGAAAACATAAATGAGGGGATGTAACACTTTTTCACAAATGAACACTTAATGGTCAGTTGGCTGTAAATTGGGTGGCTTTGGTTGGGATGTGGGCTAAATGAGTAATGGTGTGTTTCCTAATGCTCCTCTGGGACTTCTGCTTTCTGCTGACTCAGTGATGTAATGTCGTGCCTGCACATGTTTAACATGATGGTCAGCTCTGGGTCTAGTTCACATGTGTCCAACATTTGACCGAAGGGGGCTTCTGGATTATAGACAGCTGCCCCAGTCTCTTTATGTCGGACTAAAGCTTCACTTTTCTGTACTTCTTGGACTCCTTTAGTGGGTAAACCCGCCATACATGCACAATCTCTTCAAGCTTGGCTCATTCAAGTGTGGAGAGTTAGAGTTTTTGAGGGAAAAGCCCTGACTTTTGCTGGACAGATTGCCGTGGAATGTGATAAAATAAACTCCTGATCCTTTTTTCTCTTTTCCAGCATAAGATCAGGCATCAGATTTGTCCAAAACACTATTGGTTTACACTATCTGCAAACCAGACATATACGGAGCTGATGACAGGGCCATCGGCATCGGTTTTGCTTTCTGTTAATGCTTAAGAAGGAGGGTACGGCAACTGTTTCATCTGCTGAGCATTAACACATCATTATGGGTATGTTTTTGGTTATGTTGATTTTCCATCTCCACTGCAGTAAGCACGGTTAGAAACTGTCTCTTGCATTTGTAGCTTTTGAAAAGCGTTTTGTTTAAATAGGAAGACATTCAAACCATGAATTACCAATGTTTTTCCTGTGTTCAGTTTCATTCCGATTCAGATTAAACGGCATCCTTTTTAAACCGCTGGGTAATGTGCCACAAGCTACATGTCAGGACAACAAGTTTGCAAACCTTATCCACTATGATGCAATTCAATGCTCTGAAAATGGCCAGTGAAGGATTTTGGCAAATGGTTTTGTAGAGTTGGTCACAGACTGGAGAATAAAATATAAAATTGTATTTATGCCATAAAAAGAGCCCAGATCAAACACACAACCAAAAACTAACTTCTTCAGAAAGTTCAGCTAAAAAAACAAAGTTCCTGGTATTTTTTAGTAAGTCAAATCTGTTCTCTTCTTCATACCAAATCAATCAGGTCAAGCCAAACTGAACAATGTGACTATTATGGCTTAAGAAAAACCTTATTTAAGGATTTCATATTTCTAAAATGAATACTTTGTATTGCTGACACTCTTTCTTCTCACTTCAAGATTAAACCGAACTGTCCCAGTACAAAAGTGAACCCAATCAGGGTCAAGTTGAATGATTCCAATCAGCCTGACATTAAACCTGCCAGAAGTGGGAGGTGGCACGGGCAGACATTACCTAGCCTCTCACGAACACGGAGCGCGTGCAGCACAACTTGAGACGTTAGCTAACCGTAGACTTGACAGGCCCCCGAGGAGCTCATTACGTGCACAGCTGCACAAACAGGCTTTCAGTCGGGCTCAGGTAACTCCGTGGGGCTGTGAGAGCACCGGGGCCGGATCACACCTGCTTCACAGTGCGTTAACAAGCGGCTCTAAAAACAAACCCATATTCAGCCATGAGAGTAATCGCTGCGGCGGTAAATCTGAGCCAGCGCTTCCTCAGAAAGTCCACAAACGAGGCGGGTTGCCAGGAAGCTGACGATGATTTCTGGGGAATGGGAAGTTTCGCATCAAGGGTCAGAGTTTCTGACATGGAATGGGATCCCCCTCCCCTTTTTTGCATGGCGTTTCATACGAGAAACAAACTTACTGCGTCCACTTTTTTGTTTTCTAATGTGGTAAAGACGCAAGCAAAACGTAATCTGATCATTATCATCATCTTCTTTTTTGGGCTTCACAACAGAATGAGTGTGAAGGGAAATGTTAAAAGTTCTTTTCCTTGGATCTCATGGCTGCCGTTTAGCAACAACCCATGGGTGGTCTTGTGGTTTTTGTGGGTTTTCTCTCATTTGTTTAGTTTCACAGGGTCGCCTTCTGCCAGAGGCTTTTGTGACTTACAGCTACGAGGATGAGGCCTGACAGCAAAAACCAGCACTTTGGTTTTCTCAAGTAAAAACACATTAAACTGTCCATACATTTGACTTCAAGGAGTCTTGTCAATTGGTAAAATGTTTCATGCGCAAGCTAGTATGTTGTTACGCCATGTTTGAAATGGTTTCTGTGCTCTACAGTCAACGGGTTTTAGGATTTCCAAATCACTGAAAAAACTTTTCCACGTGGAGATACAGAGATTGTGAATATGAAATAAGTTGTGTGTTGAAGTAATGGGTGTGTGTCGCAAGCTGAATTTTTTTTTTACCAAAACAGAAATTTGGTAAATGTTCCCAACATGAAGTTAGGATTGATTTGCATTTAGTTTCTTCTGACATATAATGCATCATGAGCCCAATTGGGTGCATAAAAGGCTCTTCCGCAGGATCTGTTTCTTCTTAACCCACCATATGACCCAGTCAGATGCGAACCGGGACCCCTGATTTTCCCTGGTTCAGAGTTTCTGGGAGGAGCTGCGATATAAGATCCTGTCCTCACTCCCTTCCCTTTGTTTTGAGTAGCGGGAATCCAGCTGCTCCTAATGGAGACTGCTGTTTACAGACACCTTTGTTCTGTTCCCAGCCTGCTCGTTGGTTCTGTTGTCTGTTCTTTGTCTTTTCTGCTCTTTTTTTATCCAAACCGAAGCCCAACCTAAGGTGACTGAGTGCAACAACTCCACCAGAGGAGACAGATTGGCTGTTAAACTAGAAAATGACCTCCGTGTTGTGGACGTTGTACGCTTGTGGCACATACTAAATCACTTATGTTACATCCAAAGACTCACGAAGACTAACTGATGTTAACGCTACACAGGAGCGTCTTACTCTGGAAAAAACAACCTTGTGGCTGACAGGAAATGAAAAAGTAACCACTTAATTTGATGGTCAGAAATTAAAAATAGCGAGTGCTATTTGATTTTTTGAGGAAGTGGTGTTATTTATTTAAATAAATCTTTAAAATGCACTGCCCTGGAAGATTGTTGTCCTCTCTTAATAAGGAACTTTATATAAGGAATTTGGATAACGGCAAAATATCTGAGGAGCAGATCATGGTGAACACAAAAAAAAAGGGGCGTCAAATGTCCTGGCAGTGGAACTGTGGGCTTGTGGGAGTCGGGGGTCCCCAGCGCAATCAGAGATAATTACGGGGTGTTTGTTCTGTCATTGCCTGAAACGCGTAAACACGAACGCACACACACTCAGCCACCTACACGATACCATCTCTTACACACAAAAAATTACCCAAGATTTATCGTTACCCAATCTAAAACATGTTGGTTTTCAGGGTATTTAGGCCAGAGTCTTTCCAAATTCTCAAAGACTCTAAGCGTTTGCCCTCAGAAAACTCTTTTCCTATGAAAAAAATGCAGTGGATGGCTAATACAAATCTTGGGTGAGATGTTTTTTAGGCCACATTTCAAATAGCATCACGCAGACCAATTTTCCACCTGAAATCAAAAAGCCTCTGGTGCATTCTTACCATTCCTAGACTTACAGGGATCTCTTTTCCATCAGGCAAGGCTTCGGCCAACCTGGCCGGCTACCGTTAGCGTTTGGAAACTCTTCAGGTATTTATTTCTACGATCGATTGCAGGAGCCAGTAATCTCCTGTCGTCCACAAGTTGAATTGTTGATGCTTCCTCTACTCAAACTTATTCTCCAAGAGCTTTTAGATAAATGTTGGCCAAGGTTTTCGGCCTCCCGACTCAGAAAGGCGTCACTATGCTGCCAAAAAGTTTGAATTCATGAGTGTTTGTTGCCATCAGTGCTGGAGATGTGAAATTTCTGACTAAAAAGGAACAATCTTTAGATGGAAACAAAAAAATGCAGCATGACTCTTAACATTCAGATCTGATGAGTCTCATCGTATCCACTGACTTAAAAACCTTTAATCTAGCAGAGGGGGAAATAAATTGAGGCCAGAGTGTCTTCAGTTCTCTGCTGCTAAATATGCACACAATGAAAATCATGTAATGAAGAGCAACACGCACAGGCAAAACACGAAGCCCTGCCAGGCCGAGCAGCAGGACTCCACATGCTCGTAAGACAAATGATCTCAGAGAAGTTCACAGCTTCACCTGGCATGTGTTAGCCGCTCGCTAACAAGACCGTCACGTGATCAGAGACTCAGAAATGGAAATGAATCAGACTGAATGTGGAGAAGAATGGCTGCACAGTAAACTCCTCCTATATGTTTTAATCATAATTGTGTTAAATGTAAATGTCAAGAAATCGTGATAGAAATGTGATATTGTGATTTAAGTTGTGTATGAATGTAACATGGGTCTATTGATGTTCTATTTAATCATTTTTACTAAATGCAAATTACTTGATGTTTCAGATCAATTTTTCTACGTCTGGTTGTTTTAGATTTAATAGCCCGAGACAAAGAACACATATTTATCTGGAAATAAAATTATCCTTTGTATTTGTGTACTTTATGTCCAAATTTCCAAAACTGTTGTGAAGAAGCCTTGAAAATTGTGTTTTTTCAAAATGTTATTTGAATATTTTTTAAATGTACTAGGCTGAATACAAATAACCTCATGGTTTCAGGCTTATAAGAATAAAAAGGGAAACTTACATGTTTCTCTAGGGAGACCAGAGTGACGGAACTCATGTCTTTTGATAATCCTCCTATTTTCTTCCACTGTCACTGCCTCGCTCTGCCTCCGCTGTTCAGAGCAGCTTGAAATCTCAAAGACAAATATCAAAGCGAATAGTTTTGTGTCGTCTCCTGGTAAATTTATTACAGTGATAGTCTTACCTCAGCTGGGCCGCAGACCTCTAATTTGGCCGGATGTGGACAACATCATTCGGAAAGCTGTTGGAGGCACATTCTCACTGACAACACACGGACAACATGCTGCCACATGAGGTCTGACCTCTGAGGCCTCCGATGGGTGAGTGGTTTGCATGCACAGTAAAGCATGTCTGTATGCACACACTCTCTCGGGCCAAGTTGGCCTGTCAGTTCCATTATCCAACAAAAGCAAACAGTGTTGTTAAACACACGTTTGTAAAAACGCGCGTGTGTGTGCGTGTGAATGCAGTCCTGGTTTACAGGAGGTCAATATGGCCGACATGTGGCGTTGGAATGGCCTAATAATTTCTCCCTGTAAGTGTGAAGAGAAGAGATGAAGGATTTCTTGTGGTATTTTTGTGTGTTTTCACTATGACAAACACTGAGATGGTTCACTGACCATCTCTGTCCAATCATGGCCACGGCGTGTAGGTGTGTGTGTGTGGTCCTCCTCAAACACGTTCAACCAGCAGCAGATGTTTGGCTGACCACCGCGGTGGTGGCACAGGGTTTTTCCGACATGTGAGTGCGTCTGCATGTGTGTGTTCATGTGACCACCGCACGGGTGGTAGAGGTTGTTGTGACTGGACGCCCAACAGATAAAACAGCGTGGCCAAGGCCACCGCAGCCCTCACACGGGCTCACACCCGCTCGCAAACCCTTAAACAAAGTTGTCCCACTAAAACGTGCTGAAATCGTCTTATTTTGTGCCGAAGCCATGGTAGGATCACACAGTGCGACCGTATAAAACATCACAATCTCAGCTCAATGTTAAGGATACAATCATGCACGCAGACATGCATCCATGGGCACTGTGCAGACAGCGGGGCTCCACCGGCACAGTCTCACACGAGAGTGGAAAGTGTCCTCTCTGTCTCTTATTCGATGTGGGTGGAGGATGGACTGTGGCATGGAAAGGATGACAGCACATTTCCTGCACCGACACACACAGACAGACACCCCTAATTAATTACTTTGCTTGTCTCTTTTCCATAAAAATGAATGGTACAAATAAAATTGGAATGTAATATCCGGAAGGAGCACAGATGATTCAAAGGAAACAGTCTATTGGGTTTGAGGTGCCAGGGCTGCCACCCTGAACCACAGAATGAGGCCTTTCTTCAGTGCGCAGCACTCACCCAGGTGGAAGTTCTCACTTTTCCACCATTTCTGGCAACCTGAAATGAAAGGTTTTCCACTGGAAAACTGCCACTTTGAGAAGCAGACAGTGAACTTTGGCTGTTCACTGCACACACTACAGCTATATTTTAAAATTATTGTCATTATCTATAGTCCTCCTCAGTTACCTTAATCCTTCCTTTGGCTTTCCTCCTCTGTCACCTGCTGCTAATCTGACAAGTTGGTTTTGCTCAGTCTTTGTCAAATTCTTGCTTTCACTATCTTTAATGTTATTCTCTGTTGCGTTGGTCATTGCATGTCAGTGTTTACCATTTGGTTTGTTTTTGTATTCCTTTCTGCTTTCACAGTTTAGTCCTTGGGTTTCCAGTTCTACTGAATGTTTTTATTCCGGATTTATTCTATAAACTAACTGAAGTTTCCCTCTGTCGCCAGTTTGCTATTTTGCAATTCTTACCTAATGTTTCCTTCCACTAACCATGAATGTATTTATACAAGTACCATCAAATGGTTTATAATGCTAAGTCTGATGTGGGTTTTATTCCCCAGCATGCAGTTCAGCTTAATGAGGTGACTTGACAATCGTAGCGGTTCAAATGTGTTATGTTTAACAAATTCCCAGTGTTTCTCCTGGATGGCCAGAACCTTGGAGCCATGACCAATTATCATTCACTGAATGTTTCATGTGAAAAAGCGTCCCTTTAAATTTAATCAGGAGCAATATATTTCCAATCATGCAGGACAACATTCTTTATTGACGACAAAAAAACTAAAGAAAAAAGCTGTGAATAAGCCAGGCTCAGCCCAGGACTCTGAGCAGTCCACATCCACAACACCTACAGAGGGCAGGAGTCCTGGGAAATGGAGGTGTCTGGCAGATGATATTTTAATTTCTCTTCTTAATTGTGAGATCAAATGTCAGATACAGAGCTGGACCTGTTGTCTGCAGGTATGCTGTCTCTGCCACACCTCTCTGGCTCCCACAGCCTCAAATGATCCCGAGTGAGATGGTATTTTCGCTGTTGTGCGGTATTCTGCATCAGACTGATGCTCATGGCCTGGCAGCTGGCTGAAAACTGAACATTCCTTCAGCTGTCAGGTCACGGCTTGTTTATTGTGTGGATTAAGAGACATTAAACACCCCCACAGGTGCCTCTGTCATACTGATAACCCCCATTTTGGACGAGTCATATATGTCAAATGGGATGATAAACACCCGTGAGCCACTTTCCTTTAACCTGACATTCCAGTATGTGAGGTAATAATCTTTCCTTTGTCCGTTGTCATCTTCACACTCTTAAAAACCAAATGTTAGGCCTGACAGCCAAACTTTTAAAAAAGTATTTTAGCTGTGAAGCCCATCCACTATTCTGGACACTTTATGTGTGAATGCGTGCCGAACAAACAGCGGTTTCCATGCTGTGAATGATATTCCATAAACTACAACAGAAATAGCAGACACCAGATTAAAACCACCAAGCACAACCAAGCACTGTTTTCTCACTTTGTGTCACATTTTACAACAATAACAGAACAAAGGCCTTTTCAACAGCAGTTCTAATTCATTTCTCACTCATTTCAGCACAAACAACAGGAGCTTGGCTTTGTCTTTTTCTGTCATGTTTAAAGCAAGACTCTCTGCTCCACCTAGTGTTGGATGTGGGGTAAGTTTAAATCTTGGAGCAGCCAGGAGTCCAAAGGAACACAAAATGCCTCAGGAAAATTTGCTTTGTATAATATACAGCATATGTGTGGAATCCATAAAAATTATACATTTTTTCTTTGTCACCTGGAGAGCTTGACAGTGTAATTACCTCTTTACTGGAAGCCTCCACAGCGTAATCCTTCTTCCAGTAAGTGTTTCCTCTGCAGCACAGTGCGTGCTGAGTCACCCGCCAGATGGGGGCTCAGAGAGGACAAAGTTGTTATGGGAAGAAACCTGTGCAAACTCAGTGAATTTGGTTGGTCAAAAATGTGATATCTGGACGTACAGTTTTCTTGGTAAGGCAAGACAAGTTTATTTGTATAGCACATTTTGTGTACAAGACACTTCAAAGTGGTAATCCTGTGTTTGTGCACAGAAACGTTTTTTTTAGGGTGATCATAGTTTTGTACACAACAGTTACACAATAGTTTTGAGTTCCCGTCATACCATGAACTTTTTTATTTAAAAAAATGGTGTGTGAGCACTTTATTGGGCATCCAACTCCCCTCTTTTGTTTGTTTCTGTTAGTTTAGCTTCTCTTCTTTTCTTAAATGGCTGGTTCTCCCACGCCTCTCCCACTTGAATTGGGTTCTACATTTCTCATCTGCCTTTGTTTCTTTTCGTTTTGCTGCTATTTGCATCATCCTTACATAATATTTTTCCTACCTTTCGGGTGTTCGGGTGTTATTACTTGTGCTGGTTAGAGCTAAGTTATTGCTTTTTGCGCAGTGGCTGCCAACTGTTAACTTCACTGACTGAAAGTTTGCCTAGTTAAATATTAGAAAGATTTTTTTAATTTAAAATGTTTTCCAGACAGTACAGTTTCTTTGCTTACACGTGTAGCTGTATCATGCTGACAATCCAGTCTATCCATCTAGAGCGCAGTGAATTCTGCTCTCCTTTAGACAGATAGCTCTTCTTCTTGGTTGCTCCGTAAAAGATGCTCTGCCTGCAAAAACAAAGAGCATCATGTGCCTTTGTCTTAGTTTGCAGGTGTTGGCTGTATCGTATGGTATTCCTGTAGCTTTTTAAATACCAAAAAGTCAACGGGGTCCTCTGGTTTGATCTGGCAACACTCTGACATCGCCTGAGTGAGCGATGGCATCACATACTTCATCAGGTAGTTTCTCAGAGGCAGAGCGTGAGCCTCCATCAGCTCATGCTCCTGTCGTTTCACCTCTGACAGATTTGTCTGCTAATAATCATAACCCATCTTATTACTATGAACTGTAAAACATTCACGTTTTCTTTCCGCCCTGTTTGGAGTGTAATCTGAGCTTACCCACTCCTCAGACTGAGCTGCTATTTCAGTCAGCGCAGCTTCTTTTCTGCTTCTCTTCTCAGCAGCTTCTGCAGCCTGTTTCCGCCTCTGCTTGGCTTCTCTCTTTCGGTCCGCCTCCTCCTGATCATCTGGACTTGGGCCGTAATTCTTAGGGTCCCCAATGGTCTCCATGATATGCTTCATAACCACAGTGTACTCTGGATCGTCTGTGCTGACCTCTGGAGAAGTGAATAGAATAGTGAATTGTGTGCTCCCTTTGGTGCGCACTGATGTGGGCTCTGCAGACAGTACCTAAACGTTCTGGGTGAATTTCACAGTGATCAAAATAGTCCAACAGTGTTTCTTCAGCGGCACCCAGCTGTCTGTGTCTGGCGAGGCGAGGCAAAAATTCTTCCTGGGTGTATCGCATTTTATCAGCCACATTCTCTGAAAGTCCTTGGACTCTCTTTGTCAGGAAGTCATCAGATGCATCAAGGGCAAAAACATACTCTGTCATATAAGGAAAAACACAATTATTTGAGCACTGGAATGAAAGCATATACTGCCAAAATTGATGTGTTGACATCACTGGTACTACCTGGAGTGATGAGTTTGTTGTACTGGGGCATTACAGACATCAAATCTGAATCCTGAACCTCTGCATCCTCAACTGACCAAAACACACTCATAAAAATTAAGATCAAAGAGCTTTGATTCCACGAAGACATCAGCAAGATAAATGGCTAAAACTCACCAGAGAAATTCAACTTTGCTTGTGCATAAGTCTTAGGATAACCATCCAGAACAAACCCTTGGTTCCTACATGGCTTGGAGTTCAGTTTTTCTTGCAAAATGTCAAATACTTGGTGTTCAGCAAGTTTGCCTGCAGAAATTAATTAAAAAAACCAAAGGACTTTGTGATTGACAAAATAAAAAAGAAATCCAAACACATCCATCAACTGTAACTCCTTCAGTAAAATGTCTTTTAAGTGAGCTCCCAAGACTCTATTAGTGTGGTGCACTGTTTGGATTAAGCCAGCTGTCTCCATCGCTTTGCTCCAACAGAAAAGTCATGTCTAACTGTATACCTTTGCACACCATCACACTCTTCCCTGTAATTCTATCCTCATATGTCTGAACATGGCAATCGAACAGTTTTGGAAAACATTTTCCCCAAACTGTTTTGTATTTTTAAGCCATGGCACACATAGCATAGTGTACCATGGCTTAGCGGAGTACTGTAGTGCTTTTTACCAACCCCCGTTCATCTCCAAGCTTTGGGTGATATTTTCAAACTGTTTGTGCGCAGCAGCTGCAGCCTCTTCACTGACATGTTCGGGGTAAACTCCACTTATCTTCTCCTTCTGCAGTAACAGAAAACAACATGACAAATCAACAGGCTTTCATGTCATTCACCAAACATTTCATCCAGAAGAGGGCAGCATAAGTCACTAGCACAACAAATAAGTGCATAAAATAAAATTTGTTCAAGAATATATTTCGGACACAGACCAGTTGTCTAATCTTGTCCTCGATGATCCCCTTCAGGTTGATGTGGTGTATCTGGTAATGCTTGCAGAGCTTCTCAGCAATAGTGGTTTTCCCCACAGCCGGAGGACCGACCACACAGACTTTAATTGGCTGAAGAATCAATAGGAATAAAAAGCTTGCTCTGTTATTGTCTGCCACATGAAACCAGCGTGAAACCAGTGTGGATAAAACATTCACCCCACATAGATCCATGCAGGCACACTGATGATGAAACCAAACGGCCCCTCAGTTTTACCCATCTGTTTGCTTTGACCAGTCTTCAGAAAATAACACTCACAAGCAGCTGCCTCGTCTCTTTGTACTCTTGCACAATACTGTCCATGTTCTCAACCATCCCGGCTTTAGATGTCCAGTTGAGGTTTAGAGACTCCTTTATATTAATGGCATCCAAGCGGAGGTTTATGTTGAGGAACTCCAGTTCATCTGGCTGAGATGAGACAAAAACTGATCAATATGATGTTTTATAATCCATTATACACAACAAAATATGCAACAATGTCCCACACAGGAGCAGGATAATGCAGTGCGAACAATAAAAAACAGTAGCTGATTTTTTCTTAGCTCTCACACAATATTTCCAGTTTAGGTTTCAATGTGTGCAGTGGTAAACATTTTTTTTGTTACCATGGCAACTTTTGAGAGAAGTTACCAATTGACTTTGGGCCTCCAGCCCTCCTTTGGTTTGCAAAACAAACATTTTTCCAAGTGATAGTAATTGTAGTGTTGATGTTTTATTAAGCATGACATGGAAAAAAGCAGAGCAATTTTCATTGGAAAAATAGGCTGATTAGTTTGAATAAAAAGAAGAAAAGAGATTAGATACACTACCGTAAAAGCTTTCCTGGCAATGGCCTCCTCCACTGATAAGTGATCAACTTCTTCTGGCCCCAGTACATCACCTATAATCTAAGAAATCAGGTGTAAGAAATTATGGTTTTGTATAATTTTTTACTAGTTACACTATGTTTTTATAGTTGAAGTAATAAAGACATTTATTTTCCTCTCAACGGAATTTGCATTATGGAGTTTACCTGTACGATCTCCTCTAAAGTGTTCCTTGAATCATCAATGGCAAGGATGTATCTTGACTTAGGCCTCAGCTCAATGACATTTTGGATCACTCTGTGAACAAACAAAGTAATTCAAGTTAATTCTGAAAAGATTATCTCAGAATAAGCATACGGAATAAAAGTTAATACAATACCCTCCTAGGTCATTTACGTGAACCATGGGGATGCAATTTGTGCCTTGTCCAAATATGGGGACCTTTGGGAAGTTTATCAACCAAGAAACCTGTAGGTATCAAAGAAAACGACTGAATAAACAGAAACTATTCAAACATGCTTATGTACTACACAATTGATGATAATGTTAAAATCTAAACATGTGCCTTGAAAAAGTAGTGAAAGAGATTCTCCCCCATTCCATACTGAAGGCCAGCAGCAACAACGTAACCTGTGAGCTTCGACTTTCTCTGCAAAACAAGAAAATAGATACAAACTGTCATCTTCAAGATGATAATCTTAATACATACATATATCTAAATGTAAAACTGCCATATTCTCAATATCCTTAATCACAATAATAATATTTACAACGTACCCGTTTTGGCAATCTGAGGACAAGTTTTTCCAAATTGTGATGATTTCTGAAACTGGGATGAGGCCTCCTTTTTCTGAAGTCTTCTTCTGATATCAGACCTTCTTTGTCATCCTGAGGGGAAAAAAATAATGAAACAGGTTCTCTGGGTTTTCTGAAATCTGACAATTGAACTTTTGCCTCACAGGATCTTGAGGTTTGGTCATGGCCCATGTCATCACGGTGGAAATGAGGATGAAGATTTTACGAGATTTGAAGCTTTCCATCGCATCTTCTAGGGCTGTTTTAAAAAATCATTAGCGGAAAACAATGGCAACAGAATATATGCCTTATTTTAGTCATTGGTTGTACTGCATCATTTGGAAGATTGCATATTCACATGGTTATTAATATGGGACTTAATCAAATCACCGACATAACCCATGACCTTACCTGTGACGGCCCATGTTGCTTCTTCAACCTTCTGTAGTGCAGAGCACTCTGACATGTTATATATCACCACATCGCTCTCAAGAAGGTGCTGGAAAAGTGTATCTCTTGTTGGAGACTATAAAAGGAGATTGTACACTTTATAAGCCATTTGGATTATTTTATATTTATATGTTACAGCTTTTAAAGTCAAATTGTAGCTAACAAAAAGCAATATGATTAAATTTTAAGTCTTTCAGTCAAAGTTTAACTCTTAAAATGAAATGTGCAGAATGTAAATAAATGTCATGTCAGACTGTTTTACAAATGTATTGTAACTGAAAAATACGGTATGGATAAACAACAAACATGCTAATAAATTAATCCAGAATTCTGAATTTGAGATTAGGTTTTAAAACACAACATTAAATTATGACTCTCGTTTTTGGAAAAAGGGATATGAGGAGTCATCACCATATTTTTAAGGCGAGACTCACCATATACTGTTCGAATAGAAAGCCTGGCTTTTCGTTAGAGGATGAGGCCGCACTTCCCACGACGTGGAAAGCAGGTTCACCTCCAGGGGTCGTGCCCTCCGCTTCACCATCCTCAAACGTCTCTACAGCTTGACATGCTGATAAAAACTGTCCAGGAAGTTATCTGATTAACAGTTTTGCTGCACAACACTCAACAACGACGTTTTATTGTTTACCTTTGCGATGTATTTAGAGGAATAGGTGTCGACGTCGCTGATAAATATTCGCTTGGGAATATTTTGTCGTTTTTTGTTTGACATTTTGAGTAAATTGTTGGTCTGAATGACCAGACTGACTAAATGTACCACTAGACTAACTTTATCAAATGTTTCCAACAATAGTTATAAGCTCAACTTTTTCTTCGTCGTCGTCTGCACTGTTGCTATGGACTCAACACCGTTGCTGGCGTACAACCAATGAAACGTCAGACTGAAAATACGTACAAGAACAACGTAATGCGTAATTTTACGTAAAGCACTTTTGCATTTTACAGTGAAGCTTATCAAATGGACGAATTCATTTATCAATTAACAGCTTAGTGGTTAATTTGGTGTCTATTTGAACCGAGTTTTCTGTAATTCTACCATTATAAAAACGTTGACTGTTTAAAAGTTGATTTTATATCAATGGGTAAGTATAGGGTACTATCCATTCATTTTCAGAAATGTATTATCAATATCTATCCTGCTCTGACTTCCATGTCCAAACGTCAATTTTATTCTTTAACATAAGAAAGTAGAAAGGGAACAAATTGCATAACTGACTGATGCTGTATCACTCAAAAAGTTACATATACATAAGTTGCCTTTGTATAACATTTACTTAGATTGATTGTCTTGAAATGTAATCCATTTATCCTCCTCTCACGGCTCTACATTCCACTCTTGCGCCCTTATTTGTACAAACCAGCCACACCTGTGGGTCTGCAGACCCCCTCACAGCACAGGACAATGAAGTGCCAACATGGAAACTCTCAAAGGACCCAATATATTTATAGAGCTGACTTTATCTGAGAAACTGCTAGCAGTGCTTGATGGTTCCACACAGGTCTTAGCACTTAGTTAAACCCCCTCTTCATATTTTGAAAAGCACAGTGATACTGCTGTGAGCACGGAACGATCAGTTATTTCTTGCCATGTATAGTACTAATAATCTCTTGGTTGAAGTGATAGGTACTTAGTACACGTTCATATAAATATATGGGACAAAACTTTGGTAAATGATGATTGCTGTTCTAAAATTACCATACAATCTGTGTACGGTTTAAATCTCATTTATACAAGGATGTTATTTGGAAATTTTCAATTTGCATGAATTAAGTGTAAATCCCATAATTATTTAATATAAAATCCCCCAAATAGATAAATCCCCTTATTTGCTGCCTGAATTTACTTGAGGTGCTATTTCAAAATGATTTACAATTACCAAATGACTACTCAGACAACTGCAGTGATTAACATCTCAACCAGCACAGAGTTTGTCAAACACTGTCAGCTGCTAGCACATTAAAATAACATCAGTTGGTGCCACGAGGAGCAGCCCAGAACTGTGAAAAGACACAGATCACTTTGTCTTGGGTTTTCCCCAAAGTTCAGTGTCCCGCCAGTCACTTCACTGACAAGATTTAGATATATCAGAAATAATCTGCAATGATGGAAATATGAATATTGGACCATCACTTTGACACGTTTAAAAAAAGTAATTGGAAATTAACTGCACCAGTTACAGTACCTCTATTTAAAAATGCAAAAAAAATATGACATACTCTGTGTGGCATATCAACTGTTGCTGGCCAAATGCTAAGCAGACGTCTGTCTTTGTTAAACAGACTGTTACAAAGCAGTTGATGCTAACAGCTGCTTAAGTGTGTACATGTGTGTGATGGAAGCGGTGGGGGGGGTTAAGTGCAGAAGGAGGCAGCTGTCAAGGCAGACAAACCTTGGGCTTCCTACATTGCCTTAAAAGGATGAATGTCCCGCAAAACCATGACCCATTTAGGAGTAATCTGCCTTATCCTGATAAAAACCCAGTGACAAACATAGAACTCAGCCAAAAAGTGCTTCTTTAGAGTGAAGGGAGCTGTCGACTAAACACAGCAGAAGTTGCATGAAAATGAAGTACATTTATAAAGATTGTTGTTTTTTTTCTTTGTAATTTCGACGACAAAAACAATTTCATCATCCCCGGAACCACCTTTCGGCTCAAAAGTAAAATATTTTATACTGTAACAGTGAGGTCAGGACAACCTTGCTGTTTGTGTTTCTAATATGAACAACAAGTTCATAGATAAACCCATCCATCATCCATTCATTGTTCATACTGCTCATCTTTCGTGGGTCAGAGGAATAAAAAAGACAAATCTGAGTCTGATCAAAAAATTTGCTCTTGGTAGCGCATTTGTGGTTCATAGCTCTTAAAGATTTAATTTGATGTACTAAATTTGTGAATCGCAGTCTTATATGTCTTGATTTTTACATGCTCCAATTTCCCCCCATTGATAGTTTAAGAGGAATAAGAACAAGATGACTTTACAATAAAAAAATATCAGGCGAAGAATGATCAGTTTATAGATTACTGGAAGCACTGAGGCAGATGACGACTTTTAGCACTGTGTTCATGCGTTATCACCTAAAATTTAAATATAGAAGCTTTGGAACAATACTGGCTTCAGCCACACATGAGCTCTGCTTGGCACACACAACAGCAATTTAAATCCTTCTTCTTGTACATGTTGCCATCCTTTATTTCTGGTCATTTGTATTCCCCGTATCCTTACTCACAACCCTGGGCCCTGCATGAAATGACAAAAAAACTGAACAACAGAATTGAGAGAAAAAAAATACTACATGGGAGCAATAAGAGATTATCAAAATCCTATTAATACATTTGAAAGATAATTCTAATAGCCTCAGCATAGTATTTACAAATTGAAATCTTTATACATCCAAATTGAGTCATGCCTATTAATCCATTAGTCATTAATGTTTGAATGTACTGTTATGTAAAGGCTTGGAATAGAATCATTGAAGTAGGTTAGTAGTATTTCTTTCTAGGGTATTAGAGCACATGGCTTGAAATGAATTTCTTCAATGTGCTGATGATGTATTTCTTTGGGGGGTATTTACATTCCTACAGCACTCACTGTGGCCTGATAGTCTCCAGCATGGGGATGTAAGCACTGTGCAGACAGTACATGTTGACGTATAAGGATTCGGAACTGTCATCCTTCCACCATCAGCTCATGGCGGTGTGCAGCCACTGGGCCCAGCCACACTCCATTTCCCTAAAAGGAGACACTGGAGCCAATCAGAGCAGGGAACCTTCAGCCGTTGCTCCCCACACAGACCGTCCCACAGATCTGTGTCTACAATATTGCATCTCAGCTGTCTGGTATGCCTTACCCCCCCCAATCCTCACACATGCCATAACACCAGCAAACTGTCACCGGTCGGTCCCCCTTGGACGGCTCCTTAAACCATACAACTCAGGCAGGGTTTCACATTATCATCTGCAAACACCTCTTTCACTGGTGTCCCTATTAAGCTTAGTCATATTAACACTTCCATCTAACACTTATGGGAAGAATGAAGTGCAAAAAATTCTGAATGGGACAAAAATCTTGTGTATTTGCAGGAATGTAAATTTATTACTGTTGATCTTGCAGATTTTTTGTGCCCTGATAGGTCTCAAAAAACATTTTTGTACTTCAAACACAATCAGAATTTGTAAAACACGCATATTTGATCCTTAAATGCTAATAGGATTATTTTACCATTGTGTTAACCCCATATAAGACATGTGACTAATGGCAATCACAACCTCAGACAAATCCCTATTTGGCTTGGATAACTTCTATCACGACTTCTATTTGTCAAGACAAGGCCTCTCCAGTTTGGAGGAATCCCTGACATGGGATCCACTTTACTTTGCCATTTTGCTGAGCAACACTTAATTTGGACTTGTGCGAGGGCCAGAGCCCGCCCACCAGCCCCCAGCCTCAGCTTCCTGAGACATATTTAAGGACCCCTGTACACCCTTTCCCCTTCGTCCCAGAGGAAACTCCAGTCTTGCGATTACAACTTGGTGAGTCCCTTTTCAGATTTGTTGTCTCAGATGCTTGTTGTCTTATGCTTTATGGAGCACAGGGGGCAGAGAGGATGGGAATATGCAGTCACCTAATGACATATGCTTATTGTGTGAGATGATAATTTAGTGGTGGCCAAAGGATGAGAAGATGGCAACTAGAGGGTAAAAGTGTCGCGCTGAACAGTTAAGAGTCCTGAAACAGGTCATGTACTCTATCCGATTCAACCCGAAGATGATTAGAAGATTCCCTTTGTGCTGATTTAATTAAAAAACAAAGTAATGTTAAAATCCAATAAATGATGATAACAGCTCTGCCTTTTAAGTGAAACTAACCCTGCCAATTTTGCATTTGTAAAAAACTGGAATTCTCCCTGATGACAGTGTGGTCTTTTGGGCTCCTTAAAATAATCAACGTTCATTCATTTAATTTAGTCTTAACAGGAGAGAAAAAATGGATGTTCTAAAAGTCAATTTCTTCTTCGGCAAGTTAAAACTAGGTCTTATACACAAAACCAAGATTATTCTAAGATTTATTTGATGTTTTTTTTGCTTTAAGTTTTATTTGACACGTGAAAGTTGATTTAACAGAAAACATTTAAAAAAAATACTATAAAAGTAGGCTTTAGAATAAACAGCCCTGATGTTTTTATTAATTGGGGATACCTCTATGGGGGAGGGGGGGAGAATTCTCCTTCCAGGAGAAATCCTGGAAGGATCAGAGCACATGGTCTGGATCAAAACAGAGAAGTCCACTATGTGTCGACAGCTGAGAGGAGACCCAGGCCTCCACTACCACTTGTCAAAAGACACACTGGCTCAGCTGTTAGCGGGCTGCGGCTTAGGGATGACATACTGGGGAAGGGATGTGGGGGCAGTGTGGGCACCGAAGGCTCAAAATAGACTTGCGAGTGTGTACACAGGGGTCAGGCCATGTCCCGTTTTGGCTTTTCAGGCGGGTGTATGACTCACTAACAAGATTAAAGCCCTCCATGGGGTCTTCATACTGAACATAGTGCTACATTACACATTTACATTCCATGTAAAGCTTGTTTCCTATTTTCATTGAGTTTATGATCCAGACAGAACTGAATATTTTTCTAAACACAAACATTTTGCCCCCCCCTCTTTGTTTCTATATTTTTCCGCTTTTACAGAAGGCCAGCCCAGAACAGCTCAACCATGTGTGACGACGACGAGACCACCGCCCTGGTGTGTGACAACGGATCTGGCCTGGTCAAGGCTGGGTTCGCTGGTGATGATGCCCCTCGCGCTGTCTTCCCCTCCATTGTGGGACGCCCCCGTCACCAGGTCAGACTGCTGAAAGGGCCCCGAGCTTCTCACCGATTAAACTGATTTAGTCATACACATTTCTGTACTTTATAAGGAGATTCTAAGATGCTTTTTTTTTCTCTCTCACAGGGTGTGATGGTGGGTATGGGTCAAAAGGACAGCTATGTGGGAGACGAGGCCCAGAGCAAGAGGGGTATCTTGACTCTGAAGTACCCCATTGAACATGGCATCATCACAAACTGGGATGACATGGAGAAGGTGAGGATTTCAGATTTTGCAAGACAATCCTTTTTTCTTTAAAGAAAATGCTCTACAAATTCACTACAATCTCCGTGCCTCTCCTGATCGTATAGATCTGGCACCACACCTTCTACAACGAGCTGCGTGTGGCCCCGGAGGAGCACCCCACCCTCCTGACCGAGGCCCCACTCAACCCCAAAGCCAACAGAGAGAAGATGACCCAGATCATGTTTGAGACCTTCAACGTTCCCGCCATGTACGTGGCTATTCAGGCTGTGCTGTCCCTGTATGCGTCCGGCCGTACTACCGGTGAGTCCACTACTGCTCGAATCCTTCACCAGTTAAGGCTTCACATGTCAGAGCGCGTGTTATCAGACTAACCTTCTCCTTCCCTGGACAGGTATCGTTCTGGACTCTGGTGATGGTGTGACCCACAACGTGCCCATCTATGAGGGTTACGCTCTGCCCCACGCCATCATGCGTCTGGATCTGGCCGGTCGGGACTTGACTGACTACCTGATGAAAATCCTGACTGAGCGTGGCTACTCATTTGTCACCACAGGTAAGAAAGTCCTGCAAATACCAAAAGTGTATCTGGTGGATTACGTGTAACATTTTCTGAAAAGTGAAGAGTTGCTTTTGTTCAAGTATTTTTGTACTCCAGTTTAGAAATCCTCAAACAAGTGACAACACTGTATCAAGCATTAAGAAATGAAAGAAGAATGAGAGTTAATGTGGGAAGTCATAGCTCAGGAATTTAGCAGCTCTTTCGTGTAGCTCTCAGGCAAATTTTCAGGGATTGTTCCGATGGCACTGACGTATTTCCTCTTTTTGCAGCTGAGCGTGAGATTGTGCGAGACATCAAAGAGAAGCTTTGCTATGTGGCACTGGACTTTGAGAACGAGATGGCTACCGCTGCTTCCTCCTCCTCCCTGGAGAAGAGCTACGAGTTACCCGATGGTCAGGTCATCACCATTGGAAATGAGCGTTTCCGCTGCCCCGAGACCCTTTTCCAGCCTTCCTTTATTGGTGGGTCATGAGCGTTGTCTTCATTTTCAAGTTTGCATTTAATTTGAATGTTATATTTCACCGTTTGTTGTATAAGCACTTATATTTAGGTACCTTTCTTTCTCAGGTATGGAGTCTGCTGGTATCCATGAGACTGCATACAACAGCATAATGAAGTGTGACATCGATATTCGAAAAGACTTGTACGCAAACAATGTGTTGTCTGGTGGAACCACCATGTACCCGGGTATTGCTGACCGTATGCAGAAGGAGATCACCGCCCTGGCTCCAAGCACCATGAAAATCAAGGTGAGTGTTACTAAATAAAGGTAAAAGTCACATGTCAAAGGTCAGCTGTCTAAATCCATAATCACTTAATACTTTGCTAACTTTTCTACATCCTCCTCCTCTCTTTGTCTGATCTAGATCATCGCTCCCCCTGAGAGGAAATATTCCGTCTGGATCGGAGGTTCCATCCTGGCGTCTCTGTCCACCTTCCAACAGATGTGGATCAGCAAGCAGGAGTATGATGAGGCTGGCCCTTCCATCGTCCACAGGAAGTGCTTCTAAATCCTCAACCTGCTCCAAATCCACCAACCACACCAGCTTTCATACCATATCTTTATTTTTATTGTGCCTTTTGCTGTACATACATGTGTTGTAATAATAAATAGTTGATTTTTACCAATAATTTGGAGTGCGTCTTGACTTGAAGGAAGTAAACATTTCTTTGAACGAGCATTGTGAAATGTTGTCTTCCTCTAAAATGTTTTCAATTTGTTCAGATGCCAAGTAGGCTTTGAAGAAAAGGTCATGCAGAAAAATATATATGATATTTTTGCATCTGTAAACTTTTAGACATCGTTGCTTACATTATAAGACAGACGCTTACTTCTACCATTTTTCTTATATCACCTGAATGCACCACCTTTTCCTTTACCACCTGTGCCACAGGTGATGCTAATGAATATAATCAAGCTCAGCTCCATAATTCCTCATTTCAGAGATTGTGGTGACACATTGAAAGTCCTGAATCTTGACTTCTGTCAATGAAACGATGAAGCTCACAGACAGTAACGTGATTCGGTATCACCTTCAAGTTTTGTATGGGATTTCTGCAAAGAGCTCTGAGAAAAAAAAGGAGAAACAGTTGATATTCAGTGGTACAAAAGTCTTTGGTGTTCCTTTAGAAAATCTGCCCCGACGATACATTCCTGAGTTTGGACTTGTGCCCTGGTGAGTGGAAACGGCGAGAGAGCGCACTCTCTCTTACAGATAATGTTTCATGTTAATGTTAAATGTCACAGATAAGCAATAGTTTTCATGGTGTTTGTCGCAGGTTTTTGGTGGATGCTTGCTCTTTCCTGTTGGAGCGTGTTGGGACTGTTGGTCTGTTCAGAAAACCAGGTTCACTTCCTCGTATTAGGATCCTCAGGGTGAGATTCTGATCTTTTGTTCATCTAATCTCTACCACACCAATAGTGTCATCTAGTGGTTGGAATACTTTTCCCCCAGTCTTTTTAACGGTCACTATTGTACACCAAAAAGATTTCGATAATGTTTTTATAAAGACGGTCTATTTCTAACCTTTCAATTTTCTACTGACATGAATAACTTTTTGCTGAAAATTTGGGATTCAACTGAATATTTTAGTGCCTGTTAATCTATCTTTGTGTACTTTTTAGGCAAAGATCAATCGGGGAGAGAGTTGTCTTTCCACAGCAGTGCCCTATGATGTTGCCACACTAGTCAAACAATTTTGCAGGGAGCTTCCAGAACCACTGCTCCCCACTGAGCTCCACACAGCTATGCTCAAAGCCCAAGCACTGTCTAAGCTGCGGGACCAGATGGCAGCCCTCCAGCTGCTGTCATGTCTCCTGCCTGCCAGAAACTCCTCATGTCTACATTATCTGTTTGATTTCCTCTGTAAGGTTTCTCAGAGGTAAGAATCCACAATCCACACTTTTTGATGGTGATTATGCAGCAATGTGTTGCCAACACATTAAAAAGAGGGTTAATTTAATGCTTAATTTAACAATAGCAAACCATAACTCCCTGGGCTGGCTTCTCGTATAAATTTTTTCTTGTATCTGTCTTATCCAAGTGAAAAGTTTGGGACTGTTCAGATTAATCTTGAGTGCTCTATCTCTTAATCCACCAGGTTGAAGATTATTTCTTAGTCTGTTAGTCTTTAGTCGTCCCTGTCACTTTTAAGGAAAAAAAACAAACAAAGTTGTTGGATTCATCTGAAAGGATTTTGCGAATATCAGGGTATTGGAGGTATTGTAAAGATTTAATTTCTTTTCTGTACTCAGGTGCTCTGACAACTTGATGACCAGCTCCAACATTGCTACCATCTTCACTCCGTGTCTTTTACCCCCTCCAAACAAAACAGAAATGTCTGAATCCCGACTTGAACTCAGGGTCCACGTCCTGCGGACATTTATTGAAAGTCCCCAGCTGTTTGGTAAAGTAAAAATCTTCATAGTGCTGACAGTCATTTTTTTAATTTATTTTTTTTAAAATGCAATTCTCTAGTTGTAACATTTGTATGATCTAAATGCATACTAGGTGTGATTCCTAAAACTGTAATGGAAAGTATGGAATTTCTGAAGAATTACGTTTTTCCGAAAGACGAAACCTCAAAGAAAATTAACCAAAAGAGATACGGTTTTAAAGGTAAAAATTATGATGAATTTTACATTTACTTGTGCAAAAGACATCCAAGCCATAAGTTCATTTTGGCCTAAATTCTGCTATACACAAACAGTCATGCGATCCATGAAGACAGTACCCTGGATTCAGGGAAAGCCAAAGGCCAGGCCTGAAGAGTTTATGCAGAGCCAGGAGACCACAGCCGAGGAGAGACCAAAGCTGAGGAGAAGCTTTGGCCTGGAAACCTTCCCCAATGTTGAGCTATTCAGAACGTGTGTGCCTCATGCAGGTAAATGTAGGATAGAAAAAAAAAGTAATTCATGTATTTCCATTGCATGGTTTCAGTCAAACGGTTCTGTTTAACCATGTTCAAATTCCTTTTTTATTTTCAATGCTGCAGATAAGGAGTTGTGCAAAATGGCAACTTTGGATAAACTACAATTGACACACTGGAAGAGGCGCTCTTTACCATGATGCATTTGTTTAATGTCTGTACAGCATTTTTGTTCTAATCCCTGTGTAATGTATTAGGCTAGTTCAACATTATTTTAAATTAAACATATTTAAATAAAACAGTTTTGCCTACATTGTTGCATTTTCTATTCCAGTAAATATCTATTTATCTGCTATATCCACTAATATGATCAAAGGTCTCTGGTTATGATAAATGACTGTAGTTGATTAACGATGTAAATCAGATTGGTTGTACGTTTTCAAAATACTGATTCGTGGGAGGAGGCTGAAGGCACAAATTAAAATCCACGGTCTGTGTTGTGATGAGAATGCAGCATTAGAGACTAAGATCTTGTGGTAAAGTATTCGGTTTTGCCTCGTACCTGTAAAGCTTCCATGGTATAATTGGAAATATTCTAGCAGCCAATCAGAGAAGAGGATTTTCGGTATCCTAGAAACTGCATCTGAACCGTGACGCTGCATAACAATCTATGAAGGCACCGGAATTTTTTAAAAATAAACTGGGTGTTAAAATGTTAAAATTGAAAACTATATATCTTTGAAAATGTGCAGACATTCTGCTCCTACAATAAATAAATGTACCATTTAAAAAAAAAACATTTTAGTTCAGAAACCGGAAATGAGTGTCGTGTAGCTAGCTTTACAGTGGTCCTTCATAGTAAGCAGGTGCAATCGTCCGCGCGGAAAAGGTAAGCAATTATATCCATGAAAGTGTCATTTGCTGTCTTTTAGCAATTAAAATCACACGTAGACATCAACGGCTGATATTAACTACCGCCCGTATTAAAACTGTACGTGTACTTTGATCATGTGGGCTATTTATAGACGCTTTTCATATTCTTTAATGGCTCTGTTTACAGAGTGGCGCATCACGAAAAGCTCCATTGCATTTTACTCAGTATGCTATCTTTTAAGGTTTGTATTGGGCACAAAAGCTTTTATTAACACCGTCTTCGAGTTGGTGGACCTTATTAAATGACCATGTTTCATGTGGCAGTCGTGCTGAAGGCTGGTAATTACACGCTGAAGGCTGGTGATAAAACGAGCCCTTCTTCCTCGCAGATGGCAGAAATGGCATCAGCCGTGCGGTTGTCGTTGTTCGGCCTGGTTCTGAGCCTGATGCTCGGCACAGTCCCAGCCCGCAGCCCACGCACCGCGGACCAGGTTTCTGAGGCCGACATCCAGCGCCTCCTGCACGGCGTCATGGAGCAGCTGGGCATCGCTCGGCCCCGGGTGGAATATCCAGCACACCAGGCCACCAACATTGTGGGGCCTCAGAGCATCCAGGGTAATCTATGCTGGGTGCTCATACCACGAGATTACATTTAACAGAAACGGGCTATATGAAAAAGACCAGCTCAGTTACTAACCTGTCCTGCCAAGCAGAATGTTCTTCTCTTTTTTCTATTTATTTGAACAATAACAAATTGGCATGGGTTAATCTGATTTATTACCATTGACAAAAGATAAAATAATATAAAAGCAAATCAAATGAGATAGCAGATACTTTATCAATGTGTTTTTCTTAAATATTCACAACCCTTTTCACCTGGGAAAATGTTCAGATTTATTGGCAACAGATGCCTTTTTTCTCCCACCAGGTGGTGCTCATGAGGGGCTTCAGCACCTGGGGCCTTATGGGAACATCCCTAACATTGTGGCCGAGCTAACGGGCGACAATGTCCCTAAGGACTTCAGTGATGACCACAGCTACCCGGACCCTCCCAACCCCTGTCCCCTGGGAAAGACCGGTACAAACTCTCCCTCTAATCGGATTATTTCTACATCTGACCATGCAGCTGGGGCTGATTACAGCTAGCAATTCAGTTATGGGGATTTTTTTCAGAAATATAATTTTATGATGACACAAATAATAGCTTCCGTCACTTATGAGTAACTTCAGGTCTTGTAAGTCACACGTACTTTGGTCAGTGAGCACTAAACATGACTCTCTGCCTGCTCATCTTCGCAGCAGCAGATGGGTGCCTGGAAAAAGCGCCTGACACAGCCGAATTCAGCCGAGAGTTTCAAAAGCACCAGCACTTGTTCGACCCAGAGCATGATTACCCAGCGCTGGCAAAGTGGGTGAGTACTGAGCACTGCTGCTGGCTTTGTGTTCTCACACCTTGATTGCCTATGTTGTTGACAGACTAATTTCTTTCAGGTTCACTGAGCATAAAGTTGTATTTTAGTCTAAACGACTTCACACAATTCTGAAAATGTAATTGACTTTTTAGACTAGTGAAGAAAAGCATTAACTGTGCACATTTAAAAATTAAAATACATTGAATTGTTGTAATTAATATGCCTTTTTTACCTGAAAGTGAGTGCACACAAGTTGAAATATGATAAGTGTAACTCTTCTGCTGTAAGTTTGACTTTTTTTTGTTAAATTGATCTGATTTCATAAGTATTTTCATTTTAAGATAGTTTCTATATAGACATCTACAATAGTAAAATCTTCTATAAGTGAAACTTGCTGCCTGTCTTTCAGGAATGAAGAGAGTAAACATACTCGAACATTATATCCTTTTTTCTTTTAAGTCTTGACTTTTTTCTGTCCTTTTCAGAACAAGGAGCTCTTGTACCAAAAACTGAAGGGAGGACCAAAAAGAAGAAAAAGGGTATAGTGTTTCTTAGCTGCCTTCTTCCTTCTCACATGTGGGATTATGCCTGAGAAACCACATGAACAACACAGAATTGTGAAGTGGTCTTAAACTCACTGTTATCTTTGTCTTTAAACATCTAAGAATCCAAACCGAAAGCCGTTTGACTCGGTGACATTAGTTCACCATGAACACGTTTCCAAATATTTCATGTGTGCTTCCACAGAGCGTCAACCCCTATTTAATGGGCCAGAGGCTGGACAACGTGGTTGCTAAGAAATCCGTTCCCCACTTCTCTGAGGAAGAGGAGCAGGAGGCAGCGACCGTGGCCACCACCAAGATCAGCCACCTCCTCCAAGATTAGCCGGAGCCTGAAAGTATATTCTCAGATAAATGTTTTGGGTTAGCACACTGCACCTTTAGGCATTGTGGTCAATGGGAATGTGTTTTAGGAGCAAGAGCTGAGTTTGTCAAGGTTTTCTTTCAAATATTGTAGTACAGTAGTTGCAGGCTTTAAATCGTTATGCATTCTTGTTGATTATTTTCACAATGCGAAAGATTCAATCTTAGTGTTTGAACATGGAAAAATGACCCTCAGAGGAGCATATTATAATTTAAACAAAATGGGTAAAAATTCAAGAGTAATATTTTTTACTATTGAGCCTCAGAGCTCTACCAGCAGCCCGCGCGTCAGGCTTAACAAATGCTTTCTCAAAGCTAAGAATGAGACTTAAAGCTCCAAAAGTAGTCTGTTAGTTGGATAGCAGAAAATATCAAAGTAGTACACCAGTTTTTGCTCTTCATAAAGGACTAAACATTTTTTTAAAAATCATTCAAACATCTCTTCAATCTTTAACTTTATGACAGTGTTGTGATATTATCCAAGTTCCAGCGTAAAATACCGGAATGTGAGGTGTTAAACGGTGAACTGACAGCATCAGTCTGCTACAGGTATAAAGTCTCATTGAGCGGGGGAATGTTAAATAAAAAGATTTAGTTTGGTTCCACCCACACAGCTCATTATATGTGTGTGTCAGCATGAATCTCTTCTGTCTCTTGTACCAAAAATGAAACTCAAGTCACATTTTTCAAGGTGATTAATTATCAAAAGTGTTTACCTTGCTGTGTCATTAACGGGACTGTTGTGAACAGGTCCCATGTAGCATGGTGGATATTTAGAACACAACTTCTCACTTCCTGGCATTCTGTGAGTCTCTGCAGGCTGCAGTGACTCTTATCTTGTTTACCACATCTTGTCAAAATGGTTGTGTTCTGTTTTTGTTCTGTGAAGTCAAATAAACGACTTATCTGCATTGGCAAAGTCTGGGGAACGAGTTTTTTTTTTTTGTTCTTTCCGTTTGAGGACAGATAAAGTGGGGATCAGGGTTTGGGGTGTGTTCACTGCGTCACTGACATTCATAAAGCCACTTCAGAGGATGAAGGACCTCCAGAGGAAACGCAAGCGTGTTGCTGCCTGACTGAAGCCTTTTCGTGGGGAGCAAACAGGCAATAGGTAAGCAGCTTTCACTTTTTCTCCCTGAGCCCTAAACCAGCTTTTACGCTCGATGCGTAAAGTTTGCGTAAAATTCTCTTCCATGTGTTACCAATTTGCTGTTGTTTTCTTCTAGATCCAATGATGCAGTCGCAGCAAGTGATGATATTCCTGGTGGCTCTCGCCCTGGAGCTCGCGCCACTGACTGGCTCGGACCCGGGTGCGTTTCAGGGCGCGTTCCCTCACCCGAACAAATACAACCCCAACGAATCCGGCTGCGTGCAGCCCTCCCTCAGCGGGCTCATCTCTCGCGGGACGGCGCCGGTCACCTCCAACGACGAGGTGCTGGAGTCCAGCCAGGAGGCGCTGCACGTGACGGAGCGGCGCTACCTGCGGCTGGACTGGTGCAAGACGCAGCCCCTGAAGCAGACCATCCACGAGGAGGGCTGCCTGAAGCGCACCATCATCAACCGCTTCTGCTACGGCCAGTGCAACTCCTTCTTCATCCCGCGGCACGTGTACCAGGACGGCAACGCCTTCCAGTCCTGCTCGGCCTGCAGACCCCGGGCGTTCAGCACCGTCACCTACACGCTCCTGTGCCCGGGCCAGACGCCCAGCACGCGCAGGAAACGCGTCCAGCGCGTAAAGCTGTGCCGGTGCACCACTGTTAACACGGATTAAGACCCCATCCCCCGATCAAAGTCCCCCCCCCCTCCGTGGAATGTATAAAGGAGACACGGTGCGTTTCGTGAGGGAAAAAAAAAACAGGATAACGCATCGGGATAAGGAAATACTGTGTGGAACTCGGCTGAGCCTTTCATCCTAACTGTCCACAGCAGCCATACACGGTTGGCTGAAATGCCCTGGTCCTTCTAAGGGCTGGGGCTTGCAGGCAAAAGTTATCAGCAGAAGTCCTGGCAATTATTCACGATTGCTCACAGATAATCTTTTCATGTTTGCGAGAAACACTTTGGAGAATTGCTTGCACATGTTTTTATTTTTGCTTCTGTTTTTTTTTTTAAAGCGGATACTAATGCCAAAGTATTTACTTTGAGTGCCTGTGGGATGGTTTGTAAGATAAAAAAAGACGTTTGTTGCAGGTTGACTGAGGGCTTCAGAGGTTGTTTCCACCGTGTGGGATGTAAACCTGAACATTGGTGATATGTTTTAAGTCTAGATGAGAAAATCTTTGTTTTTATAGACTTAAACCTGTACTACTAAATGCCCCATTCATTTGTTGACTCTATAAATGTATGTTATTTTTTTTTATAGTGCTTGTAAATAAAACAGAATTTAAGCTATTACATGATATTTCTTTGATCTGGTTTATTTTATTCATGGAAATTATTATTGACATGTATTGAAACTTTACACATTAGAATCAATGCAAAATGCAAAAGTATTTTGAGAAGCTGCACACATATTTATTCATATATTTTTTAATCTAAATAATCTAATCCTGAATTTATTTCAAAATTACACATGAAGCTGAAATCTGCTAAGTATGAGTACACTGAATATGCTTAAGTAACATAAATATGGTGGAAATATTGGTTGGTGTCCTGCTCCACATCCAGCCGGATCCAGCTTTGTAAGGATAGTTGTCACGAAAAGCTGGCTTGTTTTTGACGTAATCGTTCTTTCTGTTGGAAACAAATGATAAGATTAACAAATAACATAGTGGTAATATTTTTTATTTAAAAAAATGTACACCTAGTTCACACTTGTGCATTCCTGGATCTTCTGAACTTCACATTAAATGATTGTTTTGATATCTGCTTGCAAATGATTTTGCCTTTGCATCAAATGGCCTGAATCAGGTCTTACCAGGCTGTTGGGGTTGGTCTTTCTTGTTTCAACCTTCTTCTCTCCTGTAATCCTCTTCACTGATAGCTGAGCCTCTTTTAACCTGAAAAAGATCATTTCCAAATGGCCAGTTAAACAGGAGAAATGAGCAAATAGAAAACAATCAATACACTATATCATAGAGCAGAGAAAAGGTCCACACAATCATTGTATTTGCAACAGAATGAATACACACAATAAATCCATAAGTTGAATGTTTCATTAATGATTTTTTTAATAATATGTTCTAACACTTTTTTGAGGATCTAACAGTTGGGTGGAGACTTTTTGTTTAGAAGGGACTTCAGCATGAATTTACTTTGAGAGGGGCCCAAATGGGTATTAGGTAAACATGCGTGAAATACAGCTAATCTTTACACCTATTAATTTAATAGATAACCTACTCCGTTTTAAATATGTAAACAAGTGTTTAGAACACACATACACGCACACAGATGTTGCATACCGCTCTTTTGAGAGGATCTTGTTCTCCCTCTTCCACCTGGCTTTGAAGTCAGCACAGAATTCAAACCAGAGCATGAAGAGGTGAGCAGTCGTCACTTCCTTCTCTCCTGACTTGGGCTTTAGTCCAAAGTACAGAACCAGGTCCTGGAAACTGAACAACAATGGAAAACCAAACAAAACTGTAAGTGGCACGGCTGTTAAATGAGTCTCTTACTTAAACCAGAGCAGAAGAGCCATCTTCCACCAGTTAATCACGAGCCCTGCCGTACAGTTTCTATTCTTACCTCTCTGTTTTGGCACTTTGCTTATTTCTTCATTAATGGATAGTGGTGTGCTTATTCTATACATCTGATATGTGTAAAGGAATAATAATTATGAATTAGATAAAACAGAAAACGTGTTATTATCGATGAAAAATCATTAAAGAATAAAATAACTGCAAAGATGACATTTCCCTCTTGTCATTATTCTGTTTGTATCTCTTTAAACGCGTAAACTTTTATTTCAAGCGTATTCACGGCAAAAATGGACTTCACTGATAAAGGAACGAGGAGGACAGTTGCACCAATAGCAAACAAATGATGATGACCCACTTTTTTTGCACGTTCATCATCTGATAGGAGGCTTCTGCGTGCTCCTTCCGTGCTGAAAAGACACAGAGGACGACGGTTTACTGCTTGTTTTCCCCCACATTGCTAATATTCTGAAGCATCCCTCTCGAGAGTCTGCAGATTTGAGCACATGCGAGCGCTCAGTGGGAAGGCTTTGTGCGAGGATAACCTTGTCTGATGGAGCCAGACAACCATTTGGTCTCTTTAAAGCAGCAATTACACCGTCAGTTATTCAACAATGGAGCCATTCTTGTTGCCACTGTCAAATTGCAATGCCATTATGACAAAATAACAGACATGCTACTTATTAACTGTGCTTGTCTCTCAGTAAATATTTTGGGTGTCTGCTTGAGGTCGTCGGAACAGTTCTGAAAAAGGCAGAGTTTAGCTTGAAGTCCAAAAGTTCCCTCGGCTTTATTCTAATGCAAAAATGAAAAAACAAAGGATTTCTGGACGACGTTTGCATTACTTGGTAAAACTTAACTGCCTTTTAGACAAAATATCAGGGCTTGATAATAAGGGAAAAAGGCGTAACTTTTTAAAAGGTCCCAGGTTTTTTGGATAAACCGCAGTCCCAGGGCAGTTTTCAGTTCAGTTATTACTCAAAGAAATAATGTTTTTGCTTTGTCCTCACCACTGGTATAATCAGAGAAAAAAGAATCATTGGTGAAAATGGAATAGCTCAGTTAACTGCATGGATATTTTTACAGTAAAAGAGGAAAAAAAAGAGACTGAGATGGTCCAGTGTCTGAGTCGGGAGTCACTCAGTCAATGCCAAATCTGCCTGATCCCTATCTGAATGTCTAGCCTTTATTCCCAATCCATCCTATCTTCTTGACTCACAGATACCCGAGACTCCCCATGAACAGACCATTTACAGAGTGGTAAAGTGATGAAGGTGTTTATCTGGCCAGAAGGAGAATCGATGGATTGCTGATTGGGCCTACGAGGTATGGTGCTTCTGTTAAAATTTCTTGCTCAGAAATCGATCTAAAGCAACATGAGAGTGAAGAAAAACAGAAAATAAAGTGATGAAAGATAGTTTTTGAGGTGAAAAGACACAAAACAGATGACAGAAGACTCCAACAACACATGCCAGAGATTAGAAATAATAAATATAAACTCCAAGACTTAAAAGAATGAGAAAAAAAAGCTAATACATAAAATGACACTCAAGATTCTAAAACCGACAAGAAAAGAAACAAAGACATAAAGGAATTATCCAGAAGAAATGCAAAACAAGACCCAAAATAAGATAAGGGAATAAAAAATGAGAAAAGGTTGAATGAAGATGGACAACATGACTAAGCTCAAAAAGAGTTTAAACGTGTGCCTGAAAATAGGTGTTGTGATGTTTTCACATGTGTGTGATCCAGATTTTTACCGTAAAACATGTTTAAAACGTGCATTCAGATTTGCACCTGTGCTGTAATTAACTGTGATTGCTCACCACTGATGACAAAAGCCTCCATCTTGTCCTTGAATGGCTGCAGGTGTTCTTCAGCAGAGTCTGAGGAAACGTTCTGTACATCTCTCTCACACCCTAAAAAAAAAGAATCCAAACAATACTTAGAAGACGACATGTAGGATAAGAAAAGAGCTGACGTGGATGAAATTATCGTCAACACTGATTGGTCCAAACATTTGTGTTGTACTGAGAAACGATCGGCCTGGAACCTGACAGGAAGAATCCTTTTGGGAATGATCGTGTGAACATCAGGACAATTTGTTTTAAGGCATCTCATCAGTTTTTGTTTGCCGATTTCTGAACAAACGACAAACTCAAAGCTACTTTTGATCAACAAACTGATAATTTTTTCATGTGGTTGTGCGGTAATACCAGTAACTAATTTATTTGGTTTGTAACATGGGTCAGTGCTTTCAAAAACCTGCACAAACCCGACAGAAAGAGGGCAGTTCAGGGCCAAACTCCTCCAGCCGAGGGCTGAGTGACAGGTTATCAGCGCAACTTCCTCAATCTGACATTACTTATTGAGATTTACCGGGCGATGGCGGCTCTGAAGTCCGCTCCCTCTCTCCTCCTCTCTCTGCCAGTCTGCGGCTCCACGTTGCTCTGCATCCAATCAGTGGATCAGAGGAGCCAGTCTGCGAGGCCAGTCATAATAGAGTCCCTGGCCCCCCTACCCTTATGCCTGATCAACATCTCCCAGATAAGATTACAAAAGAATACTGTTTTCCTTCTGGATTTGTGTAAACTTCGGAGGCGGGTATCTCTCCGTGCATTGTGTGGGGAGCCTTCCTTTTTCTTTTGTCGGATTTTTGTGCTGACACAAGTTTGCTTATTTCAGACTGAAGAGGTTTTTCGGGACCTTCGCGTAAACACGGCTGACTGATGAGGTGTGTGGTGCTCTCAGATGTGAGACTACAATTACACAAACCGGGCTGATTTGGTTTCACAGCGAGGGATAAATGCTTTCTTGAAGAGGTTTTGAGGTTTTGATGATGATAGGTTAGGACTGTTCCCCTCATAAATCACGTTTTGACCTCTACGAGATTCCACAGTGGCATCTTTTAAAGAAGAAAAACGCAAGCACAAAAGAACCAGACAAAAGTCTTGACGTTTGACTGAATTTATGGGACATATTTTAGCCAAATGATTATTATTATCTTGCCCACTTAACTAAAATATCACAAGCTACAATCTCCATTCTAATGAATTTGAAGTTTCATGTAGTTTATCACAGTGTAACGTACAATGAAGAGTACAAGAGATTATTTTTTGGGGGAAAATCTAATGTAAAATTGGGAAAGTCCCACACTTAGTGTGAATCAGCGATTGATACGCCCAACAGTATCCTCCTCCTGCATTTCTCCAGCAAAGATGAATAGATTGCAGGGTGTATGGGAAATGGACAGATGTTGAGAAAATGGTGAACATGAAGAATATTCTAAACCTGACAGCAGGCCATGCAGTAGTTCAGACTTTTTACGTTGGTAAACTCAGGGGGAAACTGCCCTTCTGGTGACTATCTGAAAGTAGTTTTTAATAATAGCTTGAAGTGGAGTGGAGACATTTGTTCAAATAGTTTGTGTGGCCTTTAACCCGCAAGACAGATTCTGGATGTACATCTCTGCAAAATCAAGCCAACCGTGCACGAACAGACTCAAGTGCAGGTTGGTGTGAAAGAGGTCTTCTCTCATCATCTAATTTGAATTAACCCCTAAAACTGAATAACTTGATTAGTTGCTGTTTAGTCTCAAAGCCGACGGCTTAAAAGAAAACCAAACCACAACAAAAGAGTTCAAACCAGCCGAACAGAAACACGGGGAGAGTGAAGTTAAAAAAAGCGGAGCCTCAAAGCATGAGGGCAGTTCAAACAGACCGAACAAAAGGGAACCTGCCACCGGCCATCCAGATTGCACGGCGGTTTGGGTAGATGGCCCGATAAGACGGAGCTGTGTTGAGAGGTAAAGAAAGCTATCTGTGGCCCGTTTTTCTGGGGGCCACACGGGTGCCCAGGTGATAACGCCCGGCAGGTCAAGGGATCCGTGCATCTGCGCGGAGAGAGACGGCAGATACTGGAGGTCTGGAGATTACGTAAGTGGACGGCTACGGTCTCCCTGCGCTGGCGACAGGGCCACAAAGGCACAACAATGGGAGATCTGATGGGCAGAGGGATTAGAGGCTGGATCTGAGAGGCGCCAAGCCAGTATCAGCAGCAAGACTCCTGCCAGTCCCTGACTACACGCACACACACACACACACACGCATGCGAGAAATGCATGCAAAACCACATGCCTACACTGTGACACAACAACACACTCACTCATAATCATACGTACGTACTGTGCGCATTGTCTTCGGAGTGGCTCGAAGCTGACTGGCATTCAGAATGGCGTCACGAGAGCACTCTTAGGACTAAGGCACACCAGAGGAAATCTTTTGTTCTGGATTTCCAGCTAACACCAGTTCAGGACTTTAGTGCCGAGTGTAAACAGTTGCTCAGTGGCTGGGGGCCAGCAATGGGAAACCGGGGTGGTGAGTTTTTTTGGAAGGGGAAGGGGGTGTTGGAGGAAAAACGATGCCAGACCGGGCCGAGGTTTGGTCTGCGGGAACCTCCGGGGAGCACCGCGAAATCGCGGCGATAGAGTTACACAGGCCGGCCAAGGTTTTCGTGCAAAAAACACACAACAAAATGACCACAAGTCAAGACTGTTCCCGGTCAACCAGTCACACATGTGTGTTGAGGCTCCTCTCAGGTTTTAATATCATCATAGAAGGGGAAGGGGTCTGCTGCTCTTTTGGAAGATCTTTCCCTGTCCCCAGAGACATGGAGAAGTTATAAGAGATTCACATACTTGCCAGATCGCGTCCGAGCTGCTCAAGGTCTCTGTTGAGGTCCTCAAACTTGACTTGCGCTGCCAGGAAGACGTCCTGAGGTTCAGGGAGGGGAAACGTACTCCTGTCTGTGCCAGCATACTGGTGCAATGCAAGAAAAATGTGCAGAAAATTCAAAGGAAAGCAAAAATACTCAGGAATTGACATCCAAATACACAATGGAATGTAAACATTGCATAATTTGTGCTATTAAATGTTGCCTTAAGGAATAAGGGAAAGTCTCATCACATCACTACAAAAAGAATGTAAACTTACTTTGTGTTACAAAACCATTTAAAAGCATTTAATATTTCCCCCCCAATGAACTTAATGAAAACATCCAAATAATTCCCAGATAATCTAAAGTATCATTGTTCCACAAAGGTTCCATGAAACCATATTCCATTTTTTGAATACCTTATCCATGTTGCGCAGATAGTATGACACCACAAAGTCCGCCAGACTAATTCGATTGTCCTGACAAGGAAAAAAACAGAGCCACTTTACAGAAGTCAGAAAGAAAAAAAACGTTGATATTACCGACTCAAAATAACTTAAATGAAGGTTATGTTAAACACCCTCTGGACTCTTTTCCCTCTCTTACTAAAACAGGGTTGTCATTCTTTCACAATTTTGTGTAATTGTGCATAAATACAATGAAATGAACGTTGAATGTCCACACAAGTCATGAACATATCGAATTAAACATGCCAGGTTTGTGTATTACAATTGCTCGTTTGGTTATTTGTGGAAATTATATATAATTTACACATGAGTTGGAGGCAAAAGTATGTAAACTTTACTTTATCTTCCAGTCCTCCATTTGCAGAAGGAAAAGGAGCTAAAGTCATTCCTGCACATTCTTTAACACAAACCGGTAATGCAAGCCATTTTTTATATCAATAATAAATACAAGTGATGCCTGCAGTTGATTCTATTGATTTGAACTTACAATATTTTCAAATCTATTGATAATATTTAATCTGCACCTCTCAGATCTGACATTTCACTGGCCTCACTTAATCTACTCGTAAGAAAAGTTAATATTTTAGGACAATAAATGGGATTAATTACTATTATATGTGTTAAACAAAACATGCAATGTTAGGTTTTACCTTGCTCTTGACATCCTTGAGTTTGGGTAGGACTTCCAAGCCGAAGCCGTCAGCCTGGCCTCTGGTCCTGCTGCCCCCATTCATGTGGTTCCCCAGAGCCAGCACCAGTCCCACCACATCTCTGACACCGTCACTCCCCAGCAGAGCCTTAAAACAGAGCAGCACGCCATGTTTGCCTCCCGTGACAGCTGGGGGTTTTCAGAGATGCTCTGGGCTCCGGCCAGGCCTGACCGGGGCTTTTGCTCACCTTACACACGGCGGAAACGGCGCCGAGCTTGCGTTGGACCGAGGTTATCACGTCAACGAAGGCCGAGCGGAAAATGATGCAGCGAGCCCTGCCTGCGAAGTCCGGGATCTGAGACAGCTCGTACAGGAACCTGGAGAACACGTTAAAAGGTCCTGAGTGTGGTGACCAACGTCAGTCTACGCAAAAAGAATCAACGAATTCTCTCATTTGGGATACGGACTGTTCAGGTTTGTCCAGCAGCTTGACGTCCTCTTCCCCCGACGTCTCGTAGTGTTTCTTGATCCTCTCCAGCTCCACGGGCTGCGCTCTCTGAATCACAGTCACACCACACCGTTCATGTACAGCCGTATGCTTGTTGTGAGACATTCAATTACAGTGTGCTGGTGGGGTGCGCACATTTTCATACAGCGCTTCGATCGTCTCCAGGTCCACCACAGAGTGATCCGCTGTCAGGACAGCTGGAAGCAGAAAGATACAGTTAGCAGGATACAAAAAGCGACCATCGATGCGTTTCACATTCACACTGAACTGCTCTTTAAATCCATCTACAATTTACAGAAATATAACATATTGGGGTGACATCTCCACTGGTGGCTCAAACATCTTCAAAGAACAGGTGTAGCTGTGTTGTGTTTGAGCAATAAAATCCCAGTTTAGATCCACAACATCTTCAGACTTCCTATTTTACTTATCTTCCTTATCATCCACATATTGTATCTCTAGTAGTTACTGCTAAGCAAGAAAAAGGAAAAGCAAACAGACCAAACAGGGAACTGTAATTATGTTCCTCTATGGAAAACAGACAGGGCTGGTAGTTTGGGATTAGATATGTAGATCGCCTCGTCTTGCTGACATTGTGGTGAGAGATTCAGTCTGTAATTGCGCTTTAACCTCGCCCACAGCTCGTTTTCGGAGGGAAACGCGAGGCTGGGTCGGTGTGATGCTGGAGTTTGGGTTAAACATGGGTGATGTTCAGGGAGTTTAGGTTAAACGAGGGTGATGTTCAGGGAGCTGCGGTTACCTCAGTGTTTGCAGCGTGTTCGAGTTTCCAGACTGTCTGCAGGCCGGCGTGCCTGACTCAGCGAGCCATGCTGTGATCGGTCTCTTATGAGACATGTGTGCACTTGGGTACACACATTGTGAAGTTTTAATTGTGTTTCTGATGGCAGACCAAATGCTGATTTTGAGGAAATTCCAGCAGAAATGAAAAAGAATCTAAAATCTGATTCTTCTTAAACTGCAACCACTGGCCTCTTAACCCCTTAGTGTGTCTTTGAGTTCTGTTCTTTTTTTTTGCATTTTTTTACTCTGCAGCACAGACTACAGACTTAATCTAAAGATGGTTCATCTTTACATTAATTTCCCCATTATATAATTAATTAAAAAATGGCTTTAAAATAGATAGTCGTCTGTAGTTTGTTTGTGGTATCTGATATCAGTGTACAATCACTCCTGTGTGCTCTTGCGTCATTTCTGGCTGAAAAAATGAGCTCACCTTGTTGAATATCTTTCATCTCCAGGTGGAGGCTGGATATGAAGATGCCCACAGCCTGAGAGCGCTTCCCGTCCAACAGCTTAATGATCTAAAACACAAAGTTACCATGACCGCTTCAACACGAGAAACCATTAGTCAGTCGTTAGCGGAGACTGTACAGTGAAAACGGAGCAAAAACAAACAGAGATTATATTACACACTTCATGCATTCATAACCAGACCAAGCTGGAACACACAGAATCTGTTTGGTCGTATATTCCATGAAACTAGCTCTAGTTGGATCTCAAATGTTTACCAAATCTTAATATAAGACTTCTGCCTGCCAAGCATGAGCCAGTGATATGTGACTTTGGCAAGAATGTGCCAATATGGCTTGAAAAACACTGCATACAATTTCATACAATGCATCTATCTAATAGTGAAATAAATCTTATGATATCGCAATGAGAGAGCAAGAGGTTCAAACAAGAAAATTACATCATTCAGATGTGGATCTACCTGTTGGTCTGTAAACACAACAGTGTTGGCTCCATCTAGTGGACCAATGGCCACCACATTGTGCATCACACAGATACTGAATTACGTTTTAAAGAAGGCTAAGATGAGGGTTTACCTTCCTGGCTTTGGCTTTCTTTTCATAAGCCTCCGACAGGGGCTTTCTTTTAGTCTTTGTGTTGGTTTTTGCAAATAGTTCCTCAAAGTCGCTGGCGTTGACGATGGGGGGTTCCTCTAAATTGCTCCAAAGTGTGTTGTTGCTGAAGGAGATAAATACAGTGTTTCCATTCATTTTTGTCCTTTTGAAACTGATCCCAATGAGTAACACAAATATAATTTAAATAATTATTTAAAGATATATAGAATAAGGTGCCAGATGAGTCCATGAAACTATATTCATTAAAAAGATAAGCGTTATGTCCAGGTTCAGAAAGCAGTCTGCTGGAGTTAATGAGCCAAAATGACACAAAAGCACACATTTGAACCTTTTCTGAGGTGTGAACCTACTTGTTCTCCTCAATCTGGATTTTGGTCCAGTAAAGAGGCTTCATGGGCCTGGAAGTCTCCACTGCTGGTTTCCTGGGAGGTTTTTCACTTATGAAACACCCGCCTGGTGGAGGAGGTGGAGGCAAGGCTACGCCTGGCATGGGAGGGGGAGGAGGGGGAGGAGGAGGGGGAGGAGGAGGAAGAGGGCATGAAGTGACACTTGACGCTGGTGACAAACATGGCAGGGGTGGTGGAGGAGGAGGGAGACAAGCATGGAGTTTGGCTGGCTGAATAGTCGGGGAAGCAGCCATTTGCTTTGCTGACTGGGGCAGAGAGTCTACAGGAAGTGGAATTTGATCTGTAGTCGGAGGAAATGATGCGGAAGACAAACACTCGTCCCTCTGACTGGCCACGCCGAGGCTGATGGAGGCCAGGTCCAGTTTTTTGGGGGACGCCTTGTGCTTCTGATCGCTCCTGCAAGCATCCCCAGCGTTATCTCTGTCCTCGGGACTTTTGATGAAAGTCTCTCGGTCTGTCTGGATGCAGACCGTGCGGAAGGATTTGTGAACAAAGTCGTCTGCCGTCGCCACGGCGACGTCTCTGCGGTCTCCGGGGTGTCCGGTCCAAGCCTGGGAGGCTTTGGCCTGCAGCTCAGCCACTGCCAGCTCCAGACGGGTGACGGTGTTCTCATTTTCCACCCTCAATCTGGACAGTTCCAGCTCATAGTTCTCCTGGAAAAAAAAGATGATAATGCTGAATATTTTGTCTGTTTAGACACAGAGGAAACAATTCAATTCAAGGCTAAACTTTGAATAACAAATGAAAAATCACATGAGTGTTTTTAACTCTAAAAAAACACCAGAGTATCCAGCAAATACACATGTTTTTCTCTCTTTTGCCTGTAAAGTGTCTTTCAAACTGACCTGTAGCCTTTCCAGCTCCTCTTTGCATTCTCTCTTCAGCTGCAGAAGGGCAGCCTGGTGCTCTGTGAGGAGACCAATCAACAGTTTAACACAAAGGATTTCCACATTTTACTGCAAATCGACTTTCCTGTGGGGCCTACAGAAGCGGATCTTTAAAACAGTTGTGGTGCCCGAGCGTGTGCTTAACTATGTGTGCTTTTGTTTAGCTTTTTATTAGATAACTTTACTGCAGTTGGAGGAACAAGTGCAGTTGTTTAAGACCTGCACAGATGAAAGATTTAGCCAGATGGTGGCAGCAGAGATCATGTTTGACTTGGTAAACTCAGCTGGCGTCTTAAGCAAACCTTCCCCGGCAAACATTCATCAGCTGATGGATGGCTGAAAAGTCAAGTACAAAATATATTGACTCCGGTGTGAGTGTGTACAGAGTTTCATCCCTGCTTAAACACTGTTTTAAATTCCCTTTGGTAAACACATGAGGACGTTCTGAAATTAAGGGTGGAGCGTTGCCCCAAAGCTGGACAGAAGTAATGACCACCGTTTGCTGCCAGACACAAATGACAGACTCATAAACGCGTTGTTAATAGGATGTGTGTTCAGTGTGTAATCTGATAGAAGCTTCCTCGTGCTGCAGGTGCTGCTGTACAGACTGGGGAGCCTCAGAGGGTGGAGCTGTGTTTGCCTTCACTGGAAATCTTGTAACTAATCCAGATAATATCGGAGCAGACAGCACTATGTCCAGTTATGTGTTTTAAAAACGATTTTGTATGCATTGCCTAATGCTTTTATTGCTGTTCTGAACCATGAAACTTAATTTTCTTTGTAACTGTAGTCTGTATGACAGAAAGAGCTTAAGCCATTGAATGAAACTGTCTGGTGTTGTGCATTTTGGAGCTCTCACTGAAATACAAAATAAAGTTTTCATGCGTATAACATATCAAAAACATAAGTCATCTGTAGTCATTGAAGCAGATGTGCAGCAGTAAGCAAAAGAGAAGGAAAAGCCCTGGTGTACAGAAAGAGTAAAGGCACTTTCTCTGCTTCTACAGCATCCATTTTGACTGAATGTTAACACTCATTTTGTGTAAATCACACTCAAGAGAATCCTTAAAAAACTGAGACAGAGTTTCCATGGCTACATTTGAATGTTTTCACCGATTTTTCAGTACCTGCCTCCGTGTACTTCAGTCCGATTTTTTCCTCCTTCAGAGGTGGCCAGACGGCTTGTAGACGGCCGGGGGTCCGTTCCTCTCCCTCTCCAGGAGTGGACGGTTCTGACTGTGGGAACAGATTTACAACAGAATTTAGTCAGTTCTGTAATAGAGATACAAATCCAGCCACAGCCGGGAAGCGCACAACGACTTTTCGGCTCCCTGAAAGATGCGTTCACAATAGTGGTGGTTTACTTTTGTGAGAATTTGACAGATTACCAATAAAAACACTTATTCTTCTTACTTTTCCATCAGGCGAGTCTTTCTTCTCTGGCGTCCTTTTGGATGATATCTCAAACAGCGTTCTTAGTGAATCTTTATCATTTTTCAATTTCTTCCTCAGTGCACCCAAGTCAACCTTGTCTGCCGGATCCTTCTTCAACGGCTTTGGGGTGAAAAAGGCCTTGAAGGCATCGAAAGCTGCCTCTGCACTGGACACGGGTTTGATAGATTCGTTGGCCTCTGAAATCTTCCCTTCTTCCTCTTGAGGCTCTTTGATCTCCCCCTCTTCACTCTCACCATCTCCACTCACTCTGTTTTCAACCTGGGCTGTGTCCACCTCAACCTCCACCTCCACCTCAACCTCCTCCTCTTCCTTCTCGTCTCCCTTTTTGTCTCTGTTCAGAAACTGTGAGATCTGGTCCAGAAAGCCTCCCTGAGGCTTCCCGTTATCCTGCCTCTCTGTGGGAACTGTGGCGCTTTCCCCCTGAGGCAGCGCTCTGATTTGAGCCACGGTGTTGTGCTCGGGCCCGACAACTCCTTTCCTCAGCACCCTCAGGCCACTGAACAGGGCCGGGAGCTGGGCCTGCTTGTTGGTGGGGGAGCCGGAAGAAAAGGTGGCTCTGGTGAGGGTTGATTTAGCATCCAGAGGCTCAGATGTTATCCTAATATTCGGCGAAATGTATCTTTGGTTAGAAGCATGCTGGAGCTGGTTGAAGGTCTGGTCTGCCGTCCTCTCCTGAGCATCTTCAGCTTCCTCCAGCGTTGGCCCCTGCTCTTCAGGATTGTCTCCTGTTCTTGTCTCTATTGTTAGAAAAGGCCTGCTTTGCACGTGCATAATTTTCTCAGACTCCAAAGATGGCACAAAATCTGTATTTGTGAAAAATTCCCCCTGGCTTTCAGAGCTTTTCAGATTTTTTATTAAACCCTTGTTGCTTTCGTTAGTATTGGCTGGCACTGGTAGAACACAGTCCGCATTTGTGCTGTTAGAGGGTATCTGCTGGGAATTTAGTTCCATCTCACATCTTTCCACAGATGAATCTGCTTTCATGAGGCCATTTTCTTCACGTCCATTCACCCCATCACTCTGGTCACGACTTGATACGCTGTGTTTTTCTGAGGCTCTGTCAGGGTTTACTGCCCATCTTTTCTGCTCCATTTGATCCTTTTCTTCATCCACTGTGTCTGAGTCATCGTCTTCTTCCCCAAAAGGTAAATATTCCAATAGTGTAGAGGCATTTGCAGCTTCTTCAGATGCTGAGGAATCTATAGAATGCAGAAGAGCATCCTGATGTTTCACACATTTATTTTTCTTAATATTTTCACAGTTCTCTTCCTGTATTATGTCGTCACTTTGTTCCTGTGAGAGGCTCCTGAATAATGTCAGGACAGCTTTTGGTTGCTCCATTTGCTGTAAGTAATTTCAATCCAGGACCAAAAGCAAAGAAAGAGCTTGAACTTGTTTGCACTGCTTTTTAAAAAAGTCTTAAATAGAATGAAATGCAGTCTAGGAGAGTTTAATCAGTGCTCAGGCATCTGGGTGGTATGCAAGCAATAGTCCAAATGATTCCAGCACCATGAAACTTCAGGCTATTATCGGCGAATGAACGAATGCAGGAAAAAAGCAACCCAACCTGTTGGCAGTCCAGTTTGCTGAAAATAACTACATTTCTTCTTTCTATGTTACAGCGGCTCCGGCATTCCCCAACAGAGAGCTGGCTTTCCGAGCCTAAAAGTAGTGGCAGCAGTTAGTCGCTTTAGAAGAGCCAACAGTAGGAGAGAACTCCCAAAAGCACTGAAAAAGTGAGGGTTTTCCACCTCAGCTTCATGGCGCTGCTCAGAAGAGTGACTCAACTCTGCCAAATGTGGTCTGAGTCAGATCCAAGCCGTGGCGTTGACCTGTGCTTTTCTGCCTCATTTTCCAGCCGGCTCCTTCCTCCTGCTGCTCTTTTAAAAGTTTACCAGCCGTGCTGCATCTCGGACTTCCTCCTGCAGTTTGTCACTGTGTAACCGGAGGCAGATGGTGTCTCCAGCCACTGTGTCTGACAACACCCTGACATCCGTGAAGCAAAGGAAGCAGCCCTGGACAGATGGAGGGACGCCACACCCCGGGCTGAAGGAGGGTAAACACGACAGGGCTCACTAGCTAAACATTGGTCCCGTGAATCCACTGCCAGGAAGGTTTCTCAGCTCCAGTACCGAGACATGCCAGGCTAATCCGGGCATCTTAGTAGGTCTAACTCCACCTACACTACACACTTAATCAGCTTACACTCAATCTGATAAAAAGGATCAATAAACAGGAGCGGATTTGTTGGATTGTTGGGAGAATATGAGAGTAAAAGTGTACCATTGTGTCATTGGCTAGGGAAACTTTCTCCTTAAATCACTTTAGTTTTTGTAATAACTTATTGAATAAATATACCAAAAAGAAAAGCAATGATAACTGAAGGAATATGCACATACAAACACATTTTTTCCTTAAAATATATATGGAAATGTCATTACAGTCCAGACATTAAGTATATTACATTTTAACTTATAAAGTATATAATGTACAACTAAGAAATTTAAGTTAAGTTCCATGACTGTAAGAAAGAAAATCAGACAACAAACAGAGAAAACAAAAGGAAAAAAGAAAAATAAGCTTTTTTTAAAAAAAATCTTTATTATTTTATTAAATATTGTCTGTTTTCCTGGTTTTGTCTTGATTATGTCTTGAATTACTGCTTTGTCTTAGTATTTTGCTTTCAGATTCACTTTGCCGTGTGTATTTCCTGTTCATTGCATTTGAATCCGTTTGTCTTCCATATCTTCGATCTTGGCCACCCAGCAGTGGTATACGGTCATCATTTAGCTCAGTGTACACTGCATGGCGCTTTTTTCCTGCTTAGTCATTGTTTCATCGTCCATTTCTTCTGGCCCAGTTCTTTTCCTCTCATCATTTTTTGTGGAGGATTATTGTGTTTTGTGGATTTATTGCTCTGGATTTCATACCTGGGAGCTCTTTTCTTTGCCAACCCTTAGTTTATTAAAGTTCACCTCTTGCTCTTTAGTCGGCTTTTCTCCTGAGTTTGTTTGCTACCAGCTTCAACCACTCCATAGGAAGTCTATTAACGCCCCTCGGAGCAATTTCCACCAACTTTCTGAAATATTATTGTTTTGAAGGATCACATAAAACTTTTGCATGAGACATTGAATTTCCTCCTTCACTGACTTGTATTTGGGTTTTCGGGTTCCACCCTTGTTTACCTTCAACCTCACACAGTCGGCAGGTTCGTGAGAGCATGAGCGATAGTGTTTTTATAGTATATAATTTCTCCAACAACTACAGCATTCTACATGCCTGTATTGTGAGGACAAACTGTGCTCTATAGCCTGTAAATGAGCTGGTGTGTTTATGCAACAGGAATGCATCCATATAATCCTATTGTGGCGTATTAAATGTGAACACCGCACACTTGGATTGTGTGCACACAGTTTAGTCTCTTAGTAATTATAATCTCATCACACTGTTTCACAATAACTTGAAATGTATATCAAATATGCATCCACTACATATAATAGGAGAGGATAACAAATATTAAAGAGCAACCTTTGTGAGAAGCGGTTCCCTATCACACATACACAAACTTGTTGTAACTAGATTAAAAACCAACCAAACAGATGACAGGCGATTCCCTTCAGCTCACAAAGTAAAAAGGTATACTTTTAATTAATTATTGTCCAAATGGGAAATTATCAGTGCATGGAGATTAGTTTCGGTTGATTAAATCCGTGGGGAAAAGACATTAAATAGAAATGTGGTGGATTTATTACTCTTGACATATCGATGGCAACAAATTAAAAAGACACTCCAAGTATCTGTGAGTTTTGTCTCCTGTAAAATGTTTGATTAAATTTAAAAAGACACACCGTGTCAACCAATAGCGGCAACATTCTAGCAGCGCCGCAATAAAAATGTATTTAAAAGTAATCATCTGTAGAGAGTGAATATGAAATTAGAAACCACAAACTTTCTGAAAGTCATTATCAGATTTGAACATCAGTATGAAAAACCCGTCTGTGGCTTCAGTAGACAAAAAGTGGCTGAGCGAAGCTTTATTTGTGTGGAGTAATTTACGGCAGCTCGTGCGCAACAGAGCTCCTACACCACACTCATAAACACCACTGATTATGCAACAGATCCTCCACACAGAGCTCTTTGTGATGCTGCTTGTATGAACAACGTGCAAACATACCAAAGAAAAGTGTAAAGAACATGGACTCGAATCATGCTAAACATGAAGCAGGATCATGGCAGCCTTCAGCTGTGAAGAAGGCTAATATTACACCATCTTCAGAAGATAATATAAAGAAAGTCATGTGATAATTATAATGCAACGTTTCTGAGAATCTGCAGGAAAATCTGTGTGCAGCGGACGTGGCGGAGATTTCAGTTTTCAGTTATTGAGGTACTCAGACAGCCCGTAATTAAACTCTTCACTCTGTTGGCTCAGGATCTCTGCCAGACATCGTTGTCTGTAGACAGATTTCATCGGGCGACACACAAATGCCGTTTAAAGCTCAATGCAATGCAAAAAAAAATACGTTTTACAATCCAGAAAGACTCACAACTCAAACATGAAGCACCTGTGACAGCAAACAGACTACACATTGTGTCACTTAGGCAAGTATTGGCGTAATCTAGTCAATCGACTCACACTCGGTTCTTGGGAGAGAGGTCTGTCCGTCTGTATGTCAGGAGTGTCGTCATCTGGAGCGGTGATGCGCAGGAAGTCGATGTGTTTGGGTCTGGATGGGTGAAAGAGAGACCTGCAGCGGGCCAGTGACTCCTCCACTTCCTGCTGCCAGATCTCCTCCTGCCTCTCAAGAGCCTCATCTGGAGACAAAACAAAGCAAACAAGGCTCAGATAGTAAAGAAAGAAAGTCTAGAGTTGGGGCGTTTTTGTGGTTTATACTACTTCTTAACTGTTGGTGTCAACGAGGATAAGATCCTTAAGATTACATACTGAATTACAAAATTATTGATAATCCATAAAGAGAAAGACAGAGGAAGAGGAAAAATCTTAACTAAAATGATTGCAACTCTACAAAATGTTTTATCAATACTATAAGTATATCATATAAGTAAATAATCATATATCCTTAAACTGTCATATCTTTAAAAGTACATATCTTAATTTTGTAAATAAGTTAAATTTGTTTAGTGTGTAAATACCATGAAAAGCACATGAAATATCAGGACTGAATCAAACTCATGTTGCAAATAAGAACAGTGAAAATGTTCTGAGTTAGACTCTCATGCTGTGGACTGACTGAATTCAATCTTCAGAACATTGTGCAGCTTCTATAGGACATATAACCGTTTCCAGAAGATAAACGGCTTAAAGAATGTTTCATCTCCCAGTAGTTTGAGCACAATAATCAGTAAACGGGATTTTTGAGAAAAAACCCCTGAAGACTCTTTCTACATTTCTCCCTTTCCCATTTATCGTCATCCTCTAAAGATTTGCTGCATCTCACAGAGCTCAGATCATTAATCCTTCTGCGGATAGCCTGCAGTCCGGCTGCCCGGCCTAAGCACCACAGCTCCTAAAGGAGACACATCAGAGTGATCTGACTGAGGCTACACTGAATGCATTATTCATCTGAGGAAGGTTCATCTTCCTGCACACTGCACATTTGGTGGGTCTTGTTATATAAAGTTACTTTAAAAAATAAAATAAAAAACGATCCGAAGATTCAGCTCAGTCTCAAATTGGAGTTCCAAAACACAGCAATAAAATGACATTTTAAAAACATTCTGTATCTTGTCTGAATTACTGACTTTTGTTA